CGTAAGTTCTTTTGTAAAACAATCCCCTGGTGTATATGTTTTCCATATAGAGTGAGCTGCTTTAGTCTTTAACTGAACATTACAATCATGTATTTTGTTTCTGCAGTAAATGTAAATAGAGATAGAATTCAATGTTAGGTTATTTTTTACAATATCCACAAATAAATATTAACAGAAAACAAAAGGTAATTGTGAAGACTACAGGAAATCAGAGAATTACATGTATTCTTTATCGATCTTGTTAGCACTAGTACTAAACTCCACATTTGGGATAAGGAGTTTCTTTAAAGTCATATAAGGCGTTTTTTATAATAAGTTCAGACTAACATTTATAAAAAAAAGATCTTTCTTTTATATAAAAATAGGACCGCTGCATTTCATTTCCGGAAATCGGCATGGCATTTCCGACTTTCCTTTATTTTATTTCCGACAATTACTCTTTTTCCCGACATTTGATTTATTTCTTTTCATTTCCAGAATTTTTGATAGGTACCTCTCCGGCAATTTAATGTTTACCAGGTACATGTACGTAGAAAAGGAATTTTGAAAAAATTATTAAACACCACAGTTTTAATATAAAAATTCTGTATAATACATCTGTACATGAAGCACCAAGTCTAGTTATCAGACTACAAATAATGAGCATGCAATTTTTTCATCACATTTAATGTTCGCTAAATTAAATGCCAATTACTGCCCCGAACTTATGTCTAAGACATTTTATTTACTAAACAGTCTATAATTTATTCTTTAAAATTTTTTATTACCGAAATTAAAATTAATTGCGTTTTATATATAGATATCAGAGATTTAAAACAATGACCGATTCTTATCGACTCGGAATTTAAATATCAGACACAGTTTTAATCGAATTAGTTTGAATTTAACTATTAGAAACGTGGGGATATTTAAGTTCAATATCGGTGAAAATTTTAATTTGAATATAAATATCAAATTTCATGTAAATATATGCTTAATCTAGTATTTTTAATTTTTAACTCAGATACGCGATATTTAGCTTTAAATATTCAAGTAAAGGCTATATGATTATAATTATTATAAATGTCGCAGTTTTGAAGTGTACGCATGAATATTTTGTTCCTTAGCATGATTTATTAATTAAAGAGATCTAAATCTATTGATATGTAAAACTAACACATGACCATAAGGTTCACCGACCATTCAATGACAGCGCCATCTGCCGCGGGCTCTACCTGTGGGTACCTGTCAGGTAAACAAATACGTCACACCCCCATTGTTTTATTAGCCATACACACCGACAGATTTCACACCTTTAATCGTATACTAATTCACACAAAGCAAATTCTAAGGAAAAACAAACACTTGCATAATAATTGTGGCGTTATTTTATAAGAAATCATGGTCCTATACGGCACTGCTTAAAGCACACTTAACGAGTAGATTCTTGTATAGAACACAACAGGGTAAATCCTTCTTATCATATAGTATAAACTAACTTTCTTTAATTTTATATGTTAAAGTCAAGATTAAAACATTTTGCACCACCCGGACCTTAAAACGTAGGGGGACCTTTTCTTATACGGACCGGACCTTTTCTGATAAAAGGCGGACCAAATATGTTATCGTATTAGGTCCGGACGGACCTTTAAACGAGGCGGACCAAATATTATGCGACACCGGTCTATCAATATTTTTTTCGGAGAGCTACAGCTGTACAGATCTGCAGCTAATTTTTATGAAACCTAATTTATATGGTTGTCAAATAAGTTTAAAATCACACGACAAACACTGCTGGGGTAATAAAGAGGACACAATGGCGTTATTTTTTTTTTGATTTAGTTTTTATTCATCAACACTGAAGAATAGTACATGTATGTCACAATATTCAGGTTAAAACAGATTGTAGGCCAGTCTATAGAAACAATTCTTTAGCTTAAAAGTTTCACACCTATCTATCCATAAATGTTCATGTTTTGATTTTCATTCTAATGTCAAAACTGACCATTGACTGGGTTGAATTGGTGAATTATGCATGCATCAAAGTACAATCTGTTATTTTAATTTACAATATATTCTCACCATTAAAGACACCAATGCCCCATTTGGTATTTTTCTTTGTCGAGTTGCTGTACTGGTTAGTTTCAATCTCCAGCAGGTCCTGTTCCTGTAAGGTCTTGAATCTCTGGGCAGTAGTCACCTCTGAAATGCTGTCTGGTAGAGGCTGTAAACTGTATTTGTGTTTATGTGTGAGACTTCAGTACTACTATTAGGTTGCAGCTCTGTTTTTGTAACTGCTTCTAAAGTTTGGTCTTCTTGGATGTCTGTAACTGCATTCAAAAGCATCTCATCAAAACCTTGGATATCTGACTGGAGTACTTCTAGAAGACTAAGAACCTCTCCTGAATTCATTTCCTCAGGTAAATTCAATTCGAATGTTACTGGGGGTGTTTCAAAACTTTCGTTTTCATCCGATTCCATTTTACATGTAATCATGTAGTCTACGTATGACGTCTAATGCAGACGATAAAATTTTCTTCTTTTCAAATTTTAAAATAATTTCTTTATTTAAGTAATTAAAAAGGTTTTTTTAATATAATTTTTATTTTGTTAATTTAATATCAATGCAAATAAAATGACTTTTACACAATCAAACTAAATAGAGAATCAACGAGAACATGGAGGCAGCCATATTGTTTATACTAGAAACAGGTCAAGTACACCAGTAGTTCCGGCTGTAAAATTCATCGATGTGTAAATTCTTTTTCGAATCTATTCTTGTCCAATCAAAACACAGGAAATTAATGAATTTATTTCATATTGGAATTATAGTATAAGCGAGTCATAATTGTACATCTCTGCCATAATAGAATACCAACGTTATTATAAAGAATAAAATGAAATAAGATTAAATAAATACTCACGGGAAAACAGGTTGAAAATAGCTAATTGAAGGTGAGTATTTTTTTATGTCAATTTAGATGGAAATTTTTATTCAAAGACACCGTAAATTTTTTGGTTGTATTTTAATCGACACAAGATATGCTATTTTATCTTTACTGTATGCATTTGTGTGAAAATTAAGAGCGAGAAATCATGTGAACAGGATTTTCTTTTTTTTGGGGTGGGGGGGGGGTATAAATAAAAGTCAAATGTGTACATCTTTTCATGAGCTTATAATACATTGAATTTCTCAATATAGATCGAGGTACAGTCATATTCAAATATAATTACATAGTCAAGTTTTCACATTTCTTACAGTTTTTACGTTTATGAACATGTTAATGTACAAACTGAAATAATGGAGTGTTCAATTGCTCCTTCGAAACTCTTGTCTTACTTTTTGTGAATATAATTCCTCATCGGACATTAAAATTTCATAAAAATTGTAGCCACTTCCTTTCTTTATTATACTATTTGATAGACAGGGTAGATTTTACCTTCTGTTGTCCATTTAAAGCATTTTTTTAAATCACTGTCTTAAAACCTCATTATAATATGCTATACAACGCACTATCTGAATGGTTCTAGACAATCACTATGTCAGTTTTCTTTTAATTATTTTATCTGTGATACTTATTACTCATGGCAATAACTTTTCCTAATACTCATCTATAATGAAAAAATGTGTTAAAAAATAAAGATGAATGTTAGTTACTTGTAGTATCATATTGTGTTAGAAAATAACAGGTTTCATCTTGTTTACCTATATAATTTTTATTTGATGAATAAATATTCCCTACAATTAAAAATATAAATTATAACCGAGTTTAACCGACCGTGACATTCAAAGACATATAGCAAAATTTTGCATTAACATTTAATTTAGTGATTGCAAAAGGAGAGGTCTCTTGGACACATGCAAAACACAGTCGAGGTTGTTTTGTCAGAGGTGTCAAGAAGCCTTTAGCCCCCCCCTCTCCTCCTTTTGAAGTCGCCAAGAAATGGTAAAATATTTATGACTTAGCGAAATTAAACGATCAACAGTTATGTTCTCTCATAAGCTGTATTCCTGAAACTATCACTGTCTCTGCTAAAATGTTGAAGACATATTCTGCAAATATGTATGAATGATAAAAAAAAAAGATTTTCAAAAAAAAAGAGAAAGAGGGGTTTTTTACCCGAAATTTTAGACATTTTTATCATTACATTATTTATACATTCATAAATAAATTTGATTTTATGCACAAGATGAATTTGAAAGTAATTAATGACGCATAATTAGATACGAAAGACAATCCCTTGTTTATACATGGCATTATATCTTGTGTGTGAAATGTGTTTCCGTATAGTTTGATTTATTTACAAATTGTTCATGTTTGTCGTGTTGATGTGGAATTATTATAAATTCCCGAATTCTGACACTTTACAATTCCGTTGTGTTGGGAATGAACATAAGGAAGATGCATATACTTTCAACATTATGAAAAATATAAAGCAAATCGAACGCCCTTTTGTGTGCAGATCATGAAATGTTCTGAGCTCCATGGGTATTTGTCGTCCGGAGCGCATAAATCTTGACGCCCAAATTCTTACTTGGCTAGTGATATCTTTAGAAAACATTTGTATCTAGATGAAAGTTAACTCGGCAACATGCGCCATCCCATTGTTTAAGTTTTATTAGGTGATTACACCTCCTATACCCGATTTCAGGGATTCAACGATACCCTAAAATCGGGTATTATACGCGATTTCACGGATAATACCCGATTTCGAGTATTCTCTCCGACCTGTATAAGGGATTAAAAGGCTTAAGATCATATCTAATTTGAATCTAATTAACGTTACACTTATCCATTCCTATTAATAAATTTGCAATATCGCAAAAAGCAAAAGCTTTTACAAAGCAATTTTCTGAAAATTACAACAAGTACTCATTTGCTTTATAGATTGCCTAGATTCAATATATTTTTTACAGATTATTAAATAAAACATATATTGCCAATTATTTGGACTAGAATTATTTTAACTACAAAATAATCAACAAAAACAAAACCCAATTGTTTGAATTTTTTTATTCACAACGTTGAAAACATGAATATAATTTTGATAATTTACATTATCCCAGCATGGAAGACATGTCTACTACAGAGTCTGTACCTGAAATAAACCACGAAGGAATTATTCTAGGATCAGAACTGGGTAAATATACATTAGGCTCTTAAACCCTCTGCTCACTCATATAAAATGTTGCTTGAATTTTATTTGCTTTTCCAAAAGATGTGTGTTTTATCAGTAAAATACAAATGCAAACAATTATAGCATAGCTTCCGGGGCAAAATTGGACAAAAAAAAATCTATAAAGGAATAATAAACATTTATGTCATTAAGAGTTATCTCTCTTATCAGAGTATAAATGAACCTTAAAAGAGATTGATAAAAATATGAAGTACGATTTGAGGTAAAAAAAAAAAAAAAAAAAAAAAAAAAAAACTTCTAACGCAAATAAATGCAATCATTTATGAAATTTAAGCAATTTCCTTCCAAACTAACTTCAACGCGAATAATGGTATTTAAATATCAGAAAATAAGGACAATTTGTTTATAATATATATTTTTCTAACAAATTTTGCTCCATTTAAATGTCAAATTTAAAATAAAAATTGAAAACCTTTAGTTTAATTTAAGATCTTTTTAATAAAAGAGCAAAACACATACAAGTAACACAAAAAATATACTCAAAAATAGTCTTCTGCAAACAATCCCGAGTCTCATGTTTTTAAAAACAGATTTTACCTGAACAAATACTGCAATATTTTCTACAATTTTTCTCCCTGAATAAAATGTGACGACTGTTGGTACACATATCTTGACCATATTGATTACAGTTAGAAAGTTTGTCCTCGCAGGGTACAGTTATAGTTGGCTCTACAGGAGAAAAACGGGCTTATGTATTTACAGATACATGGAAGTATTAAAATAGCAGGAAAATTTTCATGCAATAAAATATACCGATATTAAAAAAAAAAAAAAAATTTAAATCCTTTTTATGCAGATCATCTTGTCTGAACGCTGTAGCAAACTCCTTTTTTTAAATACTTTTGTAAATAACCTTTTTAACAATTTCTGATTTTTCAGGGTTATTTTCGTCTACTAGTACATTATCTTGAAAACATTAGTATTACCCTGACAAAATCCACAGTACAGCGGACAATTTTTCTCAGACCATTGATAGAATGGTCCACTCCTTCTACAAATCTCTTCCTTTCTATATATAAGGCACAAGGATGGGTGTCCATGCACACTGCAAAATAGAATCTGTACATGTGATAAAATTAGAGACACAGTTTCTATTTAAATTACTACTAGTAGGTGTGGAAATTAACTATCAACTTATCTTTAATCACCCCTTTGATTTGTTCTGTTGTATCCATTTTTAATTTTTATGTAGCAAAAGGTATAGTATTGCAAGAAGGGTCTTTCCAAATTCACCAATATGCGCGACAGTCCAATATACCTTTGGGTGTTGTCGATGCAGATACATCAGTCATGATTGGGCTGCCAGTCTTGGACCATGTTTCTGTGCAAATCAGAGTGTAGTAAAATATAATATCCTTTGTACTCGTATATTGTCATAATTCCACGTACAGTTATTCAATAAACTGTAAAATTTGTTTTGTGATAGCGTAAGACAGACCAATAATCGCATTATTTGATGTCCCCTTAGGCACTGCAAAATCAAGATAACAAGAATACAGATTTTCTCCATACCCATGTTTGCGAGTTTATTGATTAGTATCTATGATCGAAAAAAATCTGCAATTTTGGGTTTATCGAAATCCCATGGAGGCCAGTTCAGTGAAGGAAATATTTTTATTGCATTTAAACAACGCAATAATCCTTGCTATTTAAAAATGCAAAATTTTGCGTTGCAACGCAATAAAAAAAATTCACTCTGCACAGGCCTCGATCAACAGGTTTCGTTAGAAACATACTTTACTCTATAACTACTGGACCCGCATCTACAAAGTTAAATGTCACACCTGAAAAAGAATTAAAATTATCTCATTATTTGGCTAAATTTACATGGTCATTTCTTTTACAACACTTGTATTTAAGTTACATGTACATGTGTAAACAAGAAAAACATATAAGCTTACTTAATATTACTAGAAACCAAAAATGAAACATAATCCCAGATATTTTACACACTTTTTATGAAGTAAAAGATTGAACGATAAGTACAGTGATGACATTCACTATTTTCTTATCTCGTGTATAATTGACTTCAATCTGATAAAACTTTTAGTAATGTCCATATCAAGTAGTTCGAGTTTTACATGACTGATTAAAAACAATGGACCTAAGTGAAAATTCTTTCAAGTACAGAAGAAAAACTGTTTTGAGCAGAATAAAATATCAAAATTTCAGTTGAAACTGCTCTTTCATCAAACTCACCTCACAGGATACCTGCTTGAAGTGGCCTCAATCAATCCCGGCAAACAATTCCATAATTTGATTCAATTGAATATTTGCCATCTGTCTCACAGGGCAAGCAAAGGATCTTTTTACTGAACAAGTGTTTTTCTCTCTCTCTTCATTGATAATTTCAATCAGTGACGATTGTTCTGTGGGCACATGCGCGCATAAAGTTTCTCGACTTAATATCCTGACAGCTAATCAAGGACATGATAGTCCCAAAGTTGAAATTTTTAAAATTTAAATGAGTTTGACGACTCTTTAGGTCAATCAGTCTAATCTTTGGAACCAAAGCAATATATGATTAACGGGACAGTACCATTAACAGTTACTGCACTATCTTCAGATAAAAAAAAAAGTAATCATATTCACATGGCACAGTAAATAGGCAGTCCAGCAAGATTAACTTTTCTGTCCTAATTGTGAGATATTGAGGTTTTACATGTATGATAATATAAAGTGAATGTTTATAGAAGTGGAATTACTTGTACGAATGATGGTAAGATAAAAGTAGTAATATTCTTCAATTTAAAAGATTTTCTGAGAACTTTAAATCATTTTCTTGTTTATATGTACTAAATAAAAATATGCATAACAAATTACCCGTTGCTTCAAAATAATTCGTTATTTCAAGGCTTTTGTGTAAACTTTCTGTAGGGTATCAATGAAAAATTCACACGAGGATCAAACACATTTCAAACCATAATAATTGGATTTTTTGCATTTCGTCATTTTTATTGAAAAAAAAAGTTTTTGATAAAATTGAATACAATATTATGCTCTTTTATAAAACTCTTCCCGAAGATATCATCCAAGCGCTGAAGAAGGGTCTATCACTGAGTCAGTCCCTATAATTCAAGAAAATGTTTTTGAAATTTTCAATGTAAAACTGCTTTCAATGTAGAGATGAAAGCTCTCTTGAAATTTAAGCTTTTTATGCAGAAGTGTATTCATACATGTAGCTTGGTCTGTCATTTCATTAGAAGAAAAAAAGTGATTAAAGTATAAGTTTATGAGTCGGTAATTGAGCCTTTAACTACGCAATTCAATTACCAGTTTTAAAGTGATTGTATACTTTAAGATGGTGAGTGCATACTATAAAGTATGCAAAATGAAAATTATAAGCTGTAGTGGAACTGTACCTAAAGATCTAGTAGAAGGTAGAAATTATCTTTTTATGTGAAATATTTGTCAGTGTGCAAGACAGAAAGAGAAAAAATAAGAACACTAGTATATGAAACTTCATACAATTCCTTTACAAAGATAGTTACCTGTGCAAATTCCACAAAATTTTCTACAGTTTTCTTCCCTCCATAAACGATAAAGAGGCTCGGTGCATAAATTACTTTGATATTCGTTACAATTGGAAAGTTTGTCCTGGCACGCTATTGTTGTTGTCGGTGCTAAGAAGGAAAAATAATGTTTTTAATTTATCATTTTATTCAGCACACATTTAATATAAGAATAGTTTTTATTTTTTTTTATTCATACAAAATTTTATTCACAAAGTGAATGGGATTGGGCAGCAGGCAAAGCCTATTTTAGCCCTTTCCCTTAAACAGATTAGTTTTTATAATCGAAGTTTAACAGTATCAACCTGTGATTTCATTTATCACTTGAAATGAAACTTTAAACGTCCTTTGTGATTTTTTCACTCATATTGAAGCAGAGTTTGTCCAAAATCTTAAACTTGAAAAAGAAAAAAAACTCGCTGTACCCTTCAACTCGACATTTAGATATATATCAAAGACGTATTGTCAATTAACGTCATGGTTATTTCCATTCTAATGTCTATATGCTATATCCCGGTGAGCTTGAGATAAAAGATACTACAGAGTCTGACACATCTGTTTCATATTTGAATATTTTACTAGAAAAAGACGTTATTGATAATCTAACAACCAAGCTCTATGATAAAAGTGATGACTTTCACTTTTCAGTCGTCATTTTCCCTTACTTATGAAGAAAACACCTTCGTCACCTGTATACGCAGTATACGTATGTACAATTTCTAAAACAAGGTAAATTATTGACAAGCAAGTTGATGAAACAAGAATATCAGCAGTCTCGTTTAAAGTCATCATTTCGAAAGTTCTATTGTCGATACAATGATCTTGTGAGCAAATACAATTTATCATTGATATGAATGCTGACTGACTTTTTTCATACTAAATTGTTAGTCCATTATTTACACACTGAATTGAAGACGGACTTTCCCGTTATTTCACGATCATGACAAGGAGCACACGGTGGGTGTGAACGGTTGGCAGGGGATGCTCACTCCTCCATGGTACCTGATCCCTCTTCTAATGTTTTGAAGGTCTGTGTTTCCTCTACTCCCATACTCCCATTTTGTATTAATTTGTTTATTTGACATTTGAGCCTGAATACTGTTCGTTATCTCCATACATTTCATTGAGACGCCATCATTTGCCAGTGGAGAAGTGCAAATTTAAATTCGTACATGTCACGTAAGACAAATGTGTAGTGCTTGATCTTTGTTATGCCAGCACCACCTTGGTTTATACTCTTTTATTCGAATTTTGGTCTCCACGTCAAAAAGTGTATTTGAATCTGCGACTAAGTTAAAAGATCAATTCCTTATTTCGCAATTATAGAGCACCGCTCTATCCCTACCTCAAAGCGGGCAACTTGAAATGCTTAAATATTTTTATTGTTTTCCCTCGGTCGTTTCTTCTCGTAGCCTTTTTTGAATTATTATTGTGTATTATTGGCCACGAGTACCGAGAATTGGTCTAATTTTTCTGCCCTCCAACGACAAGTGTTGGTGTCTCAATATGACTGAAAATTCTCGAAAGGGGCATTTACCCAAAAAACAAAAAAAAGAATTCATTCCAATGATAAGCTTGCTGTTTCTGTTTAAAATTTATCCAATAACCCTTTTCTTATTAAATTCACGTACCTTGACAGAATCCGCAGTAAAGCGGACAATTTGTCGTTGCCCATGGAAAGTATATTCCGGTTTTGTTGCAAATCTTCTCCGAATTGTACACTTTACAATTCAAAGTATCTCTACAAGCTATCAACTGAACTAGTTTAGATACAAGCAAATGAAAAGATACAGCTTTTTTTTTGGGGGGGGGGGGGGATAAGCATATGTCATTATATGATTAAAGTAGACATTTCTTTCACTACCTATGTCATTTTCAAACATTGTGCAAAAAGGTCTGAAGATTAATTTTTGTCCAATAGTTTATAATGAAATGTTTAAAATATTTGGAATTTTTAACAATCCTCGAAGTAGTAATGTGCCATTTAATTAATATCTAATGTTTAGAAATTTCTTAAATTCACAGCTTCAAAGATTTGTAGTGATTGTAGATTTTTTAAGATTGATCAATTTTTTGTCCTAACTTTTGTTTCATTCCTCGCAAATCTTTTTTTATTTTTCACCAACAAATATGGAACCGGAAGTTCAATTGAAAGAGTACTGTAGATTACCTTCAGGTACAGCAAAACTAGACACTTCAGTGGTGGATCTAGTGCTTCCTTGAGGTGTTCCAACTGTAAAAAATACAGCAAATAAAAGAGTTTTTAAATGTTTTTACTCTATAAATACCGGAAAGAGATGACGGATCTTCTTTTCATCAAATCAACACTGCATGAATTTAAATTATGCTATTTATTAATGATACAGAGTTCATGTTCTTTAAATTAGCTGACGACTTATTATCGCAGTTTTACTTTATATCTGGTAGATGAAAGATGTAAATTACGCATAGATATGTTAAACTGTATGCTGTGGCATCATGATTTTTTGTGAAGCACCAATGTTTGTGGATTTCGTAGTTACATTGTACCTTTATCCACGAATTTACATCCCCCGAGAACAATTATTTTATCAATATAGTTATATATTCATTGAATCTCCTAAATACCCAGTATACAAGTAACCAACCAAATGACACTCCCAAGAACGAAGAAAATATTGCTCACCCGTACTCATTGACTCCCGCAAATTAAAAATTGTTTGTTGGTTCCTTTCAGTAAGAAATTATTTTTTACACAAAATGGCAAACAGAAGTACATTTGTACTTCTATTTGCCATTTTATGTTAAAAATAATTTACACTTTGTACTTAGAGAGTATCTTTAGATAAAAAAAAAAAGCATTTCTGCATAAAACTGAATAATAAGATTGTTACCTTGACAGAATCCACAGGTCTTCTCGCAATTCCTTCTGGCCCAATTATAGTATTGACCATTCACATCACAAATTGCAGTTGAATTATAAAGAGCACAGTTAGCACTTGGATTATCATTGCACGTAACAACTACAAATTCATTTTGTAATATAAAATTTATTAATCATCACCATTGGTGGCCCTGAAGCCACTTATTTATGCACAATTAAATTTAATTGAATAATAAACCTATTTCATTATTTTTATTTTAATTGAAAATTGTCCATCTCTAGCTTTGCACGCTTAGCATCTACATGTTTACAAGTAAAAATATGAATTTCGTAGAAAGTTAACAATGTCTTAATATATTTATATATATTTAAAATAATTAATTCTTTACATTTTTACACCATAATGAGGCCTAATAATATACTGTATATATACCAATCTTGAAATCTATACTTTTGTATCATTTATCTTTAATGTTTAACTCTAAACTATAGATCTGTCTGATTGTGTACGTACCGTGGCAAAATCCACAAAATAAAGGACAGTGCTTCCTTGCCCAGAGGTAATAAGCACCGTGTAGATCACATATCACTGTGGCGTTGTAGAGAGAACAGTTAGCACTGGGGCTGTCATTGCAGGCTGTTCAAAGAATCAACGATAATTATGTGTGTAATGGAAGTACAAAATTCCTGCATAAAGATATTCCATACCCATAGAATATCTTATGAATGCATACAGATAGGAAGAGAATGTTATTTCAGCTTTAATTTAAATACAACTCATAATGAAAAAGGTATCTTGTGACGGCAGTATTCTTTTGAGAATTTAAATGAATTGTTTTCGTGCGTTAATGAAAATACTTTTTACATTGTTTAATTGTAGTCAAAGTTGATTGCATACTTTCTATTATTTAATGTTTATCATCATTAGCAACAGGGACAATTAATAGCATAGTAATATTTAACTCTATTATCTGAAATTCACATAGACACAATTTAAAAATGCATTACCTGTTGGCGTTGTAAGAGCAGATAATGGTACAGTCAGGTTTGTATTGGGTCCTACAAATGGACAGGAATCGGTAATTATAAACAAATGTATTTTAATATAGGTAAAATTTATGTGTATTTTTTTAATTTATTCTTTACGATTTATTTTACGTTCAGATTTACATTTATATTTTAAAGTGGGGAAATAAACAGCCCGTTGTATGAAGGCTGTCTGTATGAATTAATCTTCCTCTTACTTTCAGGTGATTGCAAGGATGTCGATGATGATGAAGAATCTGGATATGAGGTTGTATATGGAGTCGTCCCTAAATCTCCAAAAAATATACATGTACAAATTAAATGTTTCTTGGTACGGATATCTCCATTTGTCAAAAACGCCACATAAACTCATTTATTTGAAGAAGTAATAATTATGAACTTATTTTATTATTTACGGTTAAATGTAACATACAAACTGGTGGGTGCAAGCTTAGACAAGCAAAATCCATGCAGCTATGCAAACACTCCCCCTGGCTGTCAGTGTTGCAGTAGAACCAGTAATTCGTTGCACAATGCGGTGGATCTCTGGAAAATATTCACTTTAAAGATTTATGACATCAAACAGAATCTAATTATTATTTTTCTTTAAAAAATCATTGAAAAGAATTTTTAAAAATTTTTGGTTATAATTCAACCTCACCGAAATTTTAAAAGAAATCATTTAAATAAATTAATGAAAATCAACCTTATTTAGGGTTACTCTTATCTAAACTAATATAAATAACATAAATGTAAAATGTGTTTTAGTCATTTAACTGTTTTAATAAATTAATGAAGATAAATTACGTCCTCGACATATTCATGAAGACTAAAAATATTATACGTTTATTTACTGGGTTCAGGGCAACATGCGTTTTGTCGGTTACCTGAGGCTATAAATTTTTTGTTATATCCTTTATTTTAATTTTTTGATATGCATGTATTTTTGCGGAGTGTCCATGTTTTGTTGTGGGAAACCCAAAATATGTGTCGGATCGAAAAATTAAATAGGAGGTGCAAAATGACAATAAGTAATAAAGATTCTGTAAAAGTTTTATCAAATTTAATTCAGTGGTATGGGAGAGGTTGCGAATAAGAGATGGGAACCCCAAAGCGCAACAGACAGACGGACGGACATATCGATTACTATATACCCTCCCGCTTTTCAAACTGGGGTATAATAAAGCTTCATGCAATGCGCGGTTCAACATCTCGTTGACAGGTCCAACATCTCATGTCTCGGACAAACATCGATTTGTTGACCATAACATAATCTCAGGAAAACCTTGGGAATGTCAGACATTTAAGAATAGATTTATTTAGGAACAATTTTTAAAGGTATAACAAGCTCCTTTAAAGTAAGATCTTAAGCCCGTGTCACACTGTCACGATTTTTGGCTACGACAGAGTACGAGTTAAAAAAACCGCAATAATTCGGCGTTCATCGTAGAGATAGTCGTGGGATATCTTCTTAATTCGTGTTTCATCGCAGCAAATCGCCAAACGCGGCGATTGTTTTGAGCGTGTTCAAAACAATCGTGGCCACAGTACGATTTTTAGTTATCCGTAAGCGATCGTACAGCAATCGCAATACACTCGTACACAGAATCGTTTTAAATCTTCGACATTCGTAGGGCACTCGCAAAAATTCGTAGAACTTCCGACTCTGCGAGTTTCCTACGATTCATCGCGAGTGTCCCACGAGTTTCTGCGAGTGTTTCTCGACTAAGAAGGAATGTCGCACGATTTCATGCGAATATGATACGAAAACAGGCGATTGACGGCGAGTACATTACAAGTACCGTGCGAGTGAACTGCGAAATGGTACGATTGTACGTGTTATGGAGATTTAGAAATCTCATTCGCATCAAATCATGAAGACAGCAACATGCTAATACAGTAGATGAAATAGTTTCTGGTTCTTGGCGCATTGAAGCTAAGAGGCATTGTCATCTGTTGGCTAGTTCCAAATGCATTTTCTACAACGCACATTTCTCTGCAGAGTCTATAGTTGAATATACGCTCCTCATTGGTCAGAGACTCGGAGTCCTTCTTGCAAAAGGTTTCATAAGCCATGTCATGAAAGAGAAGGCGTCATCACCCACGATGAAATACGTGATGTTTCTGTTATTATTTGGTAGAAGGGCAGCTTCTGGAAATCCAATATTTTGATTTTCGGTGACATCTTTTAATCCTGAGTTGTTAAACACAGTAGCATCTGAGGCAGAACCATTTGCACCTACGTCAATCCAAATGACTTTATAATCAGCATTAACAAGGTCCATAAGAATGAGGGAGTGGAACCTTTTGCAGTTGTAATAACGTGAACCTCCGTTTCGGGGGCAATTTTATAGCAATATGCTTCCCATCCAAAGCACCAAGGACATGGTCCAGGTTCCATCTAATTCTGAACTGCTCAGCTAGCTGTTGCCACACATCTGTAGTTGTTGGACATGCAATGACTTCATCAGCATATTCCACTATTATACTTTCACAAACTTCACGAACCAACAAGGAAATTGTATTATGTGGAACTCGAAATCCGTACATCAGACTTGTGTATGACGCTCCTGTTGCTAAATACCGAAGTGTAATGGACAACTTTAATCCAGGTTCCAAAGTCTTTCTGAACCACGTGTCTTGTTTTTGTTCTGGGACTCAATCTGTCTACAAGCTCTCTAAACATATCTGGTTCTACTCTGAGGAAGTTTTAGAATGACAATACATCCTGTTTCAAGTTCTTTCATCAAGCGATCAAAATATCGATACTGAGTACGTCTGGTGATCCATGGTCTTATCCAGTATCTTCTTTGCCTCTTTGAACGCCCGTTGTGTAATAAATTGGCAATTGCCTTGTCTTTTTGCAATGTTCTGTTCAAGTACCCCCAAATATTGCAGCAGTTAGAGCCTCCGCACTGTAGCTACTGCCATAATTACAACTTCGAAATCATGTTTAAGAATTTCAAGCAACCCTCTCTCTATATATCTACTCAAACCAAGTATATTCGTTAGAACTCGTCAGTGTTCGTGGGAATATCGTGTATGCATCGTACAGACTTGTAAGTATTCGTATGAGCATCGTTTAAAATCGTGCAAATTCGTATAAGGATCGTATTGCGTTCGTTATTTGATCGTCTTTGTTCGTACATTACTCGCCAAAACTCGTTCTGTTATCGTATAAGCCTCGTACATTGTTGAGCGGACGTCGTATCGTGACACACTGAAAAAAAATCACCCTCTGTCAAAAAAATGCTAGGCTGGCGTGGCGATTGTCGGCGATTTATGATTTTTTGTAAGTCGTGTGAGATCGTAGAAAAAATCGTGACAGTGTGACACGGCCTTTAGATAGATATCAGTGAATTTGGGGTAAATGTTTCATAGATACCGGTTGGTGTTCTCGTTAACCGTGAATTTTTACTTACTTTCGCAAGGCTTCTTTACATTCAACTTCACCTGAGCGTTTGCCGTCCTTGATAACCGGATTGTCTGTCATGGGATACTTTACAGGGAAAACGCCTTTCCCGGCCACTAGACCTTAATGAACAAACATAATAAAACCACTTTTAGTCCATAATTTTGAACTCATTTTGTATTTTCGAATTTTTTTTAAAATGACTAATTATTACTTACCAATCATTAAAATCGTGAAGGCAATCATTTTTACATTATTTTTCAGTTTAAAACGAAGCGACTTATTAGTGTCTTAAATATTGGTTGCACAAGTGCAGTCCTTTGTTTATCATAAAGTTATATGTACCGTCAAAAAATGCGTGCATTTAGCCTTATCAGTTCTGTACCTGATAAACTCGAAGACCGCTCAATCTAGGTTATTGGTTCTTTGCTAGTATAAACAATATCAATAAAATTCAAAAAGCACTATTAGTACCTTTTTTAGGATAGCAAACATCCTTCAAAATAATTCATGCAAAAAATCAAGCTAACATTAAACAGTTGAAATCAATATGTATGGAATGTGAAGACAATGAATCGCAATCACGCAATTCAGACACAATTCAAATAGTGATCAAAGGAAAGACAGGCTATTTACTAGAAAAATTTGTTTTAAAGTTTACATCCACGCCCTCTATGGACATCTGCCTTGTACCCCTTTAATATTTTAGTAAAGGGAGAAATCCGTAGAAAATTCAGCTAGTGTGAAAGCAATGATCTAACAGTTTGTACGAATCATACGACCTAACATCACATCATTTTTGCAAATAAAGGTCAGTGTATCAACCAAACAGGTAAATTTTGCACAATATTCACTTTAAACTAAATGTTGATACCCTTGGATAATCAACTTATTTTTAGTAGCCACTGACATTTTAAAAATCGTTTGTGAATAGAACTTACTGTTGAGTATCACATAAATGGTACATTTGTAGCATGAAATTTCTTGTCAGAAAGAGTCAGAAGTTTTACTGAAACCTTTTTATACCCCCCCCCCCGCTTGAAAAGCGGGAGGGTATAAAGTAATCATTATGTCCTTCCGTCCGTCCGTCCGTCTATTAAGCTTTGGGGTAGCCATCTCTTATCCGCAACTCCTCTCATACCACTGAATGAAAGATGAAACTTTCACAGAATCTTTATTACATATTGCCATTGTGCACCTCCTATTTTACTTTTTGATCTGACACATACCTATTTTGGGTTTCCCACAACAAAACATGGACACTCCCATTATATTCATATGGGAGGCGGGGGTATCATTTAGTGAGCTCATAGCTCACAGTACCTCTAGTTTTAAGTGTATTTAAAGTTATTCACTTTTTTTTGTAATTTATTAATTTACATTTAACAAACCTACAGACAAGCCACTGTGCCTGTATTTATAAACAATGACGCATAAATGCTTTGTACAATTATAATTTGACTGAGGTACATCGGAGAAAATATATTATTATTAGTCTAATTTTACCCCTCGTTTGAAAAGCGGAAGGGTATATAGTAATCCTTAATTCCGTCCGTCCGTCCGTCTGTTACGCTTTGGGTTACTCCTCTCATACCACTGAACGAAATTTGATGAAACTTTCACAGAATCTTTATTACATATTGCCATTGTGCACCTCCTATTTTACTTTTTGATCTGACACATATTTTGGGTTTTCCACGACAAAACATAGACACTCCCATTATATTCATATGTGAGGCGGGGGGGGGGGGGGGTATCATTTAGTGAGCTCATTGCTCACAGTACCTCTAGTTTTATTATTACTAAAGCTTACTAATCTTTTAGTGTCGATTTTGTTCCAACAGTGATTTACAATAGGCATTAGTACTATATGTTTAAGCTTTATTTCGAGTGTGAAGTGAAAGTATATCGGGTTGAACGTCTCGACAAAAGCCGCTAATGGTCTTAGAGCATTGAGTCTGGCTAAAAAACATACTGTTCTTAGAGATCCTGTTTATTATCATGAAATTTTCTGTTAATATAGCCAAGATTATTGGAGTTCTGCTTTGCAAAAATTTGCGGCCCTATGTTCCCCAAGAAGTAAGAGGAATAAGTCAAGTAAGTCAAGTTTTGCAAAATATATAAGTACATGTGCTATATACTACATGTACATGCATTAAGTATGTCATAAATACTGATATTTTCATTTACAACAAAACTTACCAATACCCTCATAGAAGAATGTAATTTTCATTCAATACAATAAAAACTCACTCATAAAATAAGTTTATATCTTATTTATTTATTCATCCTGGCAGGTTGAATACAAAGCAAATGCCAACAGTAATGCTCAAGTCAATAGGCATAAAGTAACATAAAAATAAAACTTAAACCCATTAAATGTGCAATAATTAAACAGCTTGATTTCGAAAAAAAGATCCTTTTCCTAGCAATAATACCATTAACTGAGAAAAAATATAATTTAGCTTTACATGTAAATTTCAAAAAATTTCTAATATTTTTTTTTTTGTGTGTGTGTAGTGTTACAAATTGCACGTTAGTGAATATTCAGACACAAATATGTGATGAAAATGTTGTTTTATTATTATTATTTGTACTTCTTTGTCAATTAATTGAAATGGACATATGTCTGCACTTTTCATTTTATGGTTCTGATACCACAAGAAAATAACTGTATGAAGAGTGAAGAAATTCATCTTTTAACCAAATTTTAAATCCTACATCTCCTAAAAGAGTATCAGTCTTTCTTAATGCATGCATGTATTGACATTATGCATACATTTAAATACATGTAAATATCTTAAGTAATTGTCATTTTGCATTCTCAACAGAATGAACAGAACTTAACGTTCTTAGTTAAACTTAATGGATTTTAAGTATGATGATTTTGAAGAGAAAAAAAAAGTCATACTGTAACTCGTATGACAATGACTGACAAATAAAAAACAGAAAAAAAAACCTAGTACCAAACTGAGTAAACATAAAAAAAAACATACTTGCACTCGTATGTTGGTAGAAAACTCATCATCAATTACTTTTTCAAAAAGACAAATTTGACATGCTTTGTAGATTATAGCTAGATCATTGTAAAAGTGGATATTGGAAAAAAACTTAAATATTGGTAAATAAATAGTAGCCTTTAATATGCTAATTGATGAGATAAAGGTTATTTTAGTCAGAAATTAACATTTTAAAATCTTTTATTGATAATGTCAAACTGTTATATCATATATAAATGATATGAATCACAAAAATCTTTTTTCTTTATTTATGATATTAACATCTCAAACAAATATAAAATGTGATTTTATCAAAAAAATAATAATGGCAAACACACTCACAAACTCAAGGCAAAATGGCACTTGGGTTTCAAAGTCAACTTTCAACTCATTTCTCTGATAATGACTGATTGATATTAAATAATGCACAAAAAGTCAAAATGTAGAATTACTGAAATGTTATAAGATATTCTGGATAAGCCTGCGTATCATTAAAGATAACAAAAATGCCTGGATTGTTTGGATTATCTACAACAGAGTCATACAAAATATGGCCACCACCAGGCTTATTTGGTGGGACCTTCATTCCGTTCCTCCCTTGGCAGTATTCTCCTGTTAATACTCGAGACCTATATACTCGTCTGTTTCCACTAATGTCAGGTGGACTATATGTTGAATTTGCAGAATAACTTGCATTCACAGCAAAATATACACCATTTCCATATGCAGTTGCTGCAAGATTAAGTTTAAAGTTCAACATCAAAAATAGCAATTAACAATAAAATATTTAGCCCAAAAAATAACACCAAGCTGCTCAGCTGAGCACACTGCCTAAGAAAAAGAAATCAGTAAAGTATTGGAAAGATTAAATATATTAAGTGATAACAGACAACCCCATAGCAAATGCTCTTACCACTGCACCACATGGGTGACTATCCAGATAATTAAAACCCCACAAACCAATATTTTTCCTTAAACCTTGAAAATCTGACCCAACAAAATTGTTTGTTTTTTTGTATTTTGAAAGATAGTCATTGTCAGGATCAAATTTTAGCCTGTAAACTTGTTGATATATTTACCATTCTTTCCACAATAACTCCTGTTAAAACCATAAGTGTTGATACTGGCTACTGAATCATTGGCTGTACCATGCCATAAAACCTTCTCATTATTATTTCCAGATGGATTTTGTTTATCCATTAGTTTCAATTTCGCATCATACTGCTGCAACAACATCCTGTTTTGTATCCTTTCCACCTGAAAAGAAAATGAATTTTTTTCTTTAATTCTATTCTAAATATACTCTATACCCTGCATTATTAAGGGTAGAATCTTTTGAGCATTCCCAATCTCAATACACTGTATTGTACTTTTAAGAGATTATATTAAATCTAGTAAAATACTGTGATTTATCATTGTTCATTGGGGACAAATGTTTTTTTGATGCCTTGGTAACCCTTACCCACAAATTTACATTCCCATGAAAATCATAGATTCAATGAATATTCAATGAATCTACTGTGTAAGTGAATAAACCACAAAATTACATCCCCACAAACAAGTAAAATTTTGTTTGCCCACAAATATTGATCCTCACAAATTCAAATGATTCCACAGAATTTTTCGTTTCACCTTAAAATTTACTTCTTTTGTAAAATAATGGTGTATACCTTTATTATATTTACAGCACCAGCTTGAGACTGGAAGTCCTGTACCACATCCTTGTATTCTTTACTACTAGGCTGCAGGGTTACTACTGCCACATTTTCCTTGTCCCCCATTGTTGTCCATGTCACTGGTTGCTCAAAATTAGACCCTTAATTAACAACAAAAAATACATAACAAGAGATCAATAGGTTATAATGGTGACCTGATGATCACTCCCTACAAAAGAGGCCCATAGGCTACTTTGCTCACCTTAGTACAATGGCTAATAAAAATCACACATCAGCTAAGTATTGAAAAGTTTATATGGAGAGTGGATGCTTGAATTTTATATCCCCCTGAAGATGCTTCCATATCAATATAACAATTGGCTCTGCTGTTCTTGAGCAGATTGTAAAAGATTTTTTCAAATGAATTCCTTTTGTAAAAATTTGATCCCCATTGAGGTCACTCCCTATCCCCAGGAGTCATGATTTGAATAAACTTGAGTCTAAAATCCTCGAGGATGCTTTCAAAATGACTAATGATGGTTTTGCTGTTATTGACAGTTTTCTCCCTATATATTTCAATGTAAAACTTTAATTTCCAATTGTGATCCCACCCTGCCTCCAGGGTTCATCATTTGAACAAACTTGAATCTACACAATGTAAAGAAGGTATCCTTTAAGTTTCAACTTGTTTGGCATAATGATTTTTCTTGGGAAGATTTTTAAAATATGCCACCAATTTTTCACTATTTATGAATTATCTCCCCTTGAATGAGGGTGTGGCTCTTCATTTGAAAAATTAAATTCCTTTTACCTAAGAATGATTTGTGGCAAGTTTGGTTGAAATTGGCCAACTGGTTCTGGAGAAGAGGTCAAAAATGCAAAAAGTTTACAGCTAGATGGATGTACAGATTGACTACAAAATATGCAAGCTGCTTTGAGTCAAAAGATGTCATAATTTTTACTTTCTACAAAGGATTAGTAAGATTTTAGAGGAAATAAGAACATTTTCAAGATGGATTATTAATTCTTCTGTCTCTCTACAGCTCAGCTCTACAAGAAATAAATTTTCTTAATAACACTCTTTGTGAAGGGAATAAAAATCTCAAACTTTGCATCTTTTTATATTTCTATAAATATCGCTTGGGGAAAAAATATCAGTTTTCATCATCAAGGAATTAATGTCAGACAATTTTTTCACTGTTGAAAATATAATAAATGTATTCACCATCTATTTCTCAGCTTAGTTGAGCCTTTAATAAAGTGCTGCACCACAGCATGATACGCCCGTCAAACTTAAAATTTTCTTGAACAGTTTAGGTGCAAGAAAATCACATCAACCTTGGTTCTAATATTTCAATGATTTTTCCATTCCTTAAAATATTTATGCATCCCCTGTGATGTAGGCATAAATTATAATAAATATTACATCACTGATTCTGTGCTGGTTGTGTTAGACCTTGTCAAATGCCCATCATATTAAACAATATCAAATTAGTCTTAACACCTTAATCTATACCAAATTAATTTTGAAAAGAGAAGGCTGGCCATCAAATGACATGTTGTAAACTGACCAGCAGTTCTTCTGTCTAATCCCTAAGGGTACAGATAAGACTGCTTTATCAGATAGCCTAAATTCCTACATTGAACTCATTAATTAATCTTAACTGGATGCTTGTCTACTCATTACTACCAAGAGATGAATGGGTCTGCACTATCTACCATAATTTTTTTTTTTGAAAACATAAAATACTCAAATATTCTTTTTTGGTTGAGATTTAATGTCCAACAGGTTTTAATATAATTAATATGGACATGCTGATTCCACCCCACCCCATAAAATTAGTTTTTAAATTAATAATATTACATAATATCAGATTAGTCTATTATGCAAAATCAAATTAGTTTTAATTACTTTTCATCAAATTCATTTTAAAACTTAAGCTAGCCAACAAGAGCTATTTTTAATCAAACAGGCCTACCCATTTGCCCAATACTCAAGGGATACAGATAACACCAATTCCCTGTCAGTTAGCTCCTCACACTCAAAACCCATTAATTTCTCTCTAATTTGACATGCAATTTTCTGTTATCAAAATTCTTCTTGACCAGTGCTTGATAATTACACTCATGGGAGAGGTAGAATTTCTCTAACATACATTATATTTGTTATAGATTGCTGTCAAGTATATGCTTAAAAAAATAAGTATTTTCTTGATTTAACACTTTTTTAATAGGGGACAGTGCAATACTCTTACATTATTTGGGATGTGTAAAGGAATAGTAGAAAGACACATTCTTTTTTTAAATTTCACTTAAATTAAAGGTCACAGTGACCTTGAAATAGGTCGCGACACACCTTCTACTTAAGATGCATAAACTGGCCAAGTTTGATGATTGTAAGTCTTATAGTTTTCTAGTAATGGGCTGGAAAGGATTTTTCCATATTTGGCTATAACTTCTTAATTAAAGGTCAGAGCGACCTACTTTTTGTGCGCGACACACCTTCTACCCAAGATGCATCAGATGACAAAGTTTGATAATCCTAGGCCTAGTAGTATTAAAGTTACGAGCCGGAAACGAAAAAGCCAACAGACGGACAGACGGACGGACACGAAGCCTATAACATAATACGTCCCGTCTTAAGACGGGCGTATAAAAAGCTATAAAATGCTTACCACTAATTTTGTTCTTTCTGATGACTTTTACAACATCTGTTGGATCACTCTCTGGATATTCTTCATAAGCTGCCAGATCAACAATGTATCTATTTCCTTGTGCATCTTTAAAGGATGCCTTAGATTCCTGTTTTCTAAGGGCTTTTTCTAACTGCATATTAATGTCTGGAGGGTATGGCTCTAGTTTTTGGCCTTTACTTGTAATTTCAATGAAGCACCATTCAACCATGCTTGCCATCATTTCAGCCGCCTGTTTCTCTTGTCTCACTGCATCTGCCTGGCGAAGTAATTTGTGAACTTTTTCAGAAGCTCCCATCATGTCCTCAGTGAGACCTTGCAAAATAATCCTTCCAACACGTTTCTCAACTGTCACATCAACATCAAATTTCTCTTTTAGCTGCTGGATTTCTGATTCCTGATTATCAAAATTTTTATTAATTTTTTTTTTCTGTATATTCTAAATTAAGCTCAAAAGTTATCAATTGAACCAAATTTACATGAACTGCTCATATAGTTAGGAAGGAAGCTATTAACAAACCTGATTGGGTGTGAATTCTTTCACTACTGAGTCAGAAAAGATTCTCTTTGTAATACAGGAGTCAATGCCTCTTTCAACCAAATCTATGGCTTGATCTATTTTTTGTTGGGAATCTGCATAAATCACCAAAGTTACAGAACTCATATCTAAAGGCATTCTCTGGGTTTTACGAGCTCCTTCCCACATGTTACTTTCTTGTTTACCTAAAAGAGAAAATGGAGAAGTAGAATTGAATGACATTTCCATGACTTTAAACATGCAAACCTGGTGATTTAGAAACATTTAAGATATTGATGAATGACAAACTACATGTATCATCAAAGTTTCCATTTGTCAATGTTCTTAGCCCTGCAAATGAGCAAATTAAAAATCAAAGTTTTCACTTGCCATGATCATGATGTATGTAATAAGGAAAGTACAAAAGAGTCAAATTTTCATATTTTTTCCAAACTGAATCCTCTTTACATTACAGTATTCAACACAAAACTATGTAACTTTAAGGCAAAAAATGACATTTGCTGACTGCATATATAAATTTTCTTTGGAGATTAATTTTTCTGAGAGATTTATAAAATACATGTGTAAAGTAGTTATGGGCTGGGTATCTGGGTATCTGCTTTTAGATACAAAATTTTCTTGAGTTAAAGCAAGTTATGTGTCTCAGTAAAGTATCTAAGCTAGACTTACCAAAACCAAACATATTTGTCATTTTCTTGAAGAATCCAGCTTTTTTAGGTTGATAGTTCTCACAGCAAGTTTTAAAGGACTCCAAGAATGTTTTTATAAGTCTTGACTCAAAAATCACAATATGAACTTCTCTTAAATTTGTAACTTTTTCTTGTCCTTCTTTCAGGGCCTCAAAAAAGTATTTGGCAAGATTCTCAGCTGTAACTCCAAATGCTACCAAAGAAGAAAGACTATAAACTAAAAATTTACTGTAAAAGTATTATAGTTAGTGGTTTATTCTAATTAGTGATTTTAGCGCAGAGCATCGTCCACTAAATCAAGTACATCTCTAAATGTCTTGTTAATCAGAGATTTATATCTAGCATATTCAGACAGTGCTAAATCAAATCTACACAAGCTTTTTGATGCATGAATTTCTGCTAAACATCATAACACCTACTATAATACATTTACAGTAATTAAAACAAGACTTAATGCACAATACGCAAGTTTCGAGATTATCTCCCTTGGTGCGCTCTTTCGTTGAGGAGGGGAGTTTCGTTGCCGCGTAAACAAAAAGGTGGGATAGATATTTGATATTGTGTATGTTGGATACATTGCATCATCGATATACCGGTTTATCATTACTACATGATTGTCAGGATGCACTCTACAACCTGAGAATAACCTAAATAAAAGTAAAGGCATCATTTTTGAAGCAAAAAAATGGAAACAAAAAAGAAAATATCAGTGGATGTGAGACTTTTTGGACGATGGAAGAGATATGGACCTCTAATAAATATGGCCGGTGCACATGCATCTGATTACGTCGGGAATCTTAATGACATATTGATTCTTTTCCTTGTTATGACTTAAAAAACACTTATTTTTAAAAAAATGTTCGTACAATCAAGAAAATCGGTTACTTTTTATAAAGACTACGACGTTTCTTTCGTTTTCAAGTACCCGAAAATTAATAGCAGATTTGTAAATATGCATAGTTGAGCTTGATAAATCATTAAATGCATCACTTCTGAACATTATTATCTTTCTATAACAATTAATAAATTTTAAGAACCATAAATATCGTTCTTTTATTTATGCATGTTTGTATACAGAGACAACCTGTCCAACCTCCATGCTGAAATGGGTACTTTTTGCGCCTCTATTGTAGGAGAGTTACAATCTCGAAACTCGCGTATTGATACCAATTACATGAAATATTATATAGGCTTTTAGACTTACAGGTTCAAATCAACATGATTTCATTGGTGGATATCTCAATTTGAAAAAAAATTCGGCCTATATATTCATTGTGGTTCTAAATTTCTGAGTTTAGGAATTAATGAAATCCTCAAAATTAAACCCTTTGTAGAATATATGATTTAACAGTATTTATAACATGTACCCTGATTCACTTAAAACCCCACTTTATTTGTGTGTTCAGTGTATTTGTTTTTTTAAGTTGATTTATTTACAATTCCAAGAGCTAGCTACTAGGACACAATAGTTATGTTAGCAAATGAAGGAATTTAGCTTAAAGCATTTGAACTAAATAATATATATAAAATACAATGTACAATCATTTATTTTAAATTTTCCAAATGGCTTAGCCCATTCTGTTAAAAATGTTATTATTAAAAAAAATTTCTTCATTGGTTTAATTACCTTGTCCTAAAGTAGGAAAAGCAATGGACTTGCATCCCTGTATTTCATCTGCCACTTCAATTGTTTTTAAGATTTTATGCTCCCATGATTCTCTGGTTCTTTCAGCATCAAGATGCAGGACATAATTACAAGAAAGACTACTTCTAGTCCCTGTTGTTGTTACAGCTATTCCATTTGCCTTTAAACTTTTTTCTGAAAGTTGAAATATATTTTTTTGTAAAATAGTTTACTCATGCATCTTTAAAATCTGGTTAATACACTAAGACAAACTTTTATCTAAGGGGCAAACAATGTTGATTCGTTATAAATGAAATTCAGTATATCCAGAAAGTAAATTAATGCTTTTACACTATGGGGAATAAAAAGATATAAGAAAAAAATTTCCACTTGATCAATTTACTTTTGAAACTTTGCTTGTCAATGAATAAAATGAATGATGTCTGTGAATAATTATTTTAAATTTGATAAAACCATTGCAAAAATACATATAAAAATAGCAACTGCTACTACTTACTGTTCATAGCAATTTGTTTTTCCAGTTCTTCTCCTCCAAGCTTCAAGAGAAGTTTTGATACAATACCTGAATCAAACCAAACAAGAGGCCCACGGGCCTTATAGGTCACCTGAGCATTATGCAACAACTTTCCAGTTACAGTGTATTGAATTTGATTCATGTTTTAAGCCAGATGCTATATGGCATTCACAATTTTGAAAGGGCACCATTGATCATCATAACAATAAACTTAGCAGTTGCTTAGCTTGGTTACTGAATACCCATAAGCAGGGTAGGGGAACAAAAATGCACTCCAACTAATCAGTAATATTAATCAATAATCAGTAGTGCCCCTAACACTCTCACATAAACCCCTGACCCTAGGTTGCACAAATTTTTAAAAGGCACCCTTAAAATTGCCTATCAAAAAGTAAATAAATGTTTTATAAATACAAAGGACCAGATTTCAAACAATTAATTCATTTTCAGTATATAAGTAGAGCCCCCCACCCCCCCACCCTGGGGCCTTGACCCTGGGGCCTTGAAATTCACAATTCTGCAAGATTAGGGCCCTTGTTCATCATAACTATACAAGTAGTTCATCTGCTTCATACCCAGAGACAGAGAAGAAAATTTTCAAAGATTTAATGTACAATGTATTTTCACTATATAATCAATAGAGCCCCACCCTAACACCAGAACCCCAGACCCTGGGGCAATGAAATTCATAATTTTAGAAGAGGCATTCTTGCTCATCATAACTATGCACTTACTTAGTTTATTTAATACCTAGGAGCAGAGAAGAAGATTTTCAAAGAATTCATGTATTTTCACTATATAATCAATAAAGCCCCCCCCCCCTACCACCAGAACCATTGACGCCGGGGCCATAAAATTCACAATTTTTGTAGAGGCACTCTTGCTCATCATAACTAGGCACTTAGTTAGTTTATTTAATACCTAGGAGCAGAGAAGAAGATTTTCAAAGAATTCATGTATTTTCACCATATGATCAATAGAGCCCCCCCCCCCCAACACCATAACCCTTGACCCTGGGGCCATAAAATTCACAATTTTGGTTGAGGCACTCTTGCTCATCATCACTATGCACTTAGTTAATTTATTTAATACCTAGGAGCAGAGAAGAAGATTTTCAAAGAATTCATGTAATTTCACTATATAATCAATAGAGCCCCCCCCCCAACACCAGAACCCTTGATGATAGGGCCATTAAATTCACAATTTTGGTTGAGGCACACTTGCTCATCATAACTATGCACTTAGTTAGTTTATATAATACCTAGGAGCAGAGAAGAAGATTTTCAAGGAATTCACATATTTTCACTATATAATCAATAGAGCCCCCCCCCCCCCCACACACACACCAGAACCCTTGACCCTGGGGCCATAAAATTCACAATCTTGGTTGAGGAACACTTGCTTATCATAACTATGTACTTAGTTAGTTTATTTAATACCTAGGAGCAGAGAAGAAGATTTTCAAAGAATTCATGTATTTTCACTTTATAAACAATAAAGTCCCCCCCCCCACCAGAACCATTGATGCTGGGGCCATAAAATTCACAATTTTTGTAGAGGCACTCTTGCTCATCATAACTAGGCACTTAGTTAGTTTATTTAATACCTAGGAGCAGAGAAGAAGATTTTCGAAGAATTCATGTAATTTCACTATATAATCAATAGAGCCCCCCCCCCCCTCCAACACCAGAACCCTTGACCCTGGGGCCATAAAATTCACAATTTTGGTAGAGGCACTCTTGCTCATCATAATTATTTACTTACTTGGTTTATTTAATACCCAGGGGCAGAGAAGAAGATTTTCAAAGAAATCATGTATTTTTACTATATAATCAATAGAGCCCCACCCTAACACCAGAACCCCTGACCCTGGGGCCATAAAATTCACAATTTTGGTAGAGGCACTCTTGCTCATCATAACTATGTACTTAGTTGGTTTATTTAATACACAGAAGCAGAGAAGAAGATTTTCAAAGAAATAATGCATTTTCACTATATACTTATTTAGCCCCGCCCTAGCACTAGAACCCCTGACCCCAGGGCCATGAATTTCACAATTTTGGTAGAGGACTCAATGCTGATTACAATCATGCAAATAGTTTGACTGCTTGATGTCCAGGAGTAAAGAAGAAGATTTTTAAAGATTGCATTAATTTTAGTGGTTTTGGCCCCACCCCTCAGGCCCCAGGGGGGCAGGGATCATGAAATTCACAATTTTCGTTCCCCTTCACCCATAGATGCTTTGTGCCAAATTTGGTTGAAATTGGTTCAGTGGTTGCAGAGAAGAAGCTGAAAATGTTCAAATGTTAACACACGATACACGACACACGACACACAACACACGACACACGACGGACGACGACGGACGAAAACGGATAGCAATAGGTCACCTGAGTTTACTCAGGTGACCTAATAAAATTAGCACTATGATAATCCTTTATTTTTTTATGTGAACAATTTATCAATATGCAGAATTTAGGTACATTTGATCCTCATTTAATTTTACATGTACAACAAGAGATCCTGGACACACTGGCTAAGAAGAAGCAGAAATCTGTTCAGTATGGAAAGGGGGGGGGGGGGTAAACTCAAATTTACACTACCTCAGGATTCTTCCTTATCAATATTACTTATCATGACTTTACTGTTCTTCAGCAGAAGAATTTTAAAGATTTTATCCTATGTATTTCTATGTATAATTCTGACTGCTCATTGTGGCCCCACCTGTAAACCACCCTAAATTTGAACCAATTTGAATTCACACTACATGAGGGTACTTCTATAATAATATGACTTATCATGGCTTTGCAGTTCTTTGGCTGAAGATTTTTTTAAGATCATTCCTATATATTCTTATGCAAACTTTGACCCTCTTTGCATTCCCATCCATTGGGGGTCATAACTTGAACAAACTTGATTCTACAATACCTGAGGTTCCCTCACAATCAATACTGGCTTAGTTGTTCTTTAAGAAGAATATTGTGTATGATCAGGATCTTACAATGGATATAAAGCTTTTCCTTTTTCCGTCTGAGTTAATGATTGGAATGATTATTAAGACAGCTCTGTCTGAGGGTATATTACACAGTATTTTTTTTTTCTTCTCTTATCTAGAGACGGAACTGAGTAAGGTACTTCTTGTACCATCTTTCTCCTCTATAGGTTCCCATTGATAGATAAGAACCAGGTGTCTCATTCTTAATTTCTCCTGTTTATTATTGTACTTTTAAAAATATTAAATGACTGCCTTTCTTTCAAAGCACAATTATCAAATTACACTGTTGTGCTTGCATATACTAGTAGAAGTAAAAATAATAATAAAATTCATTTTGATCACTATAGTCTATATAGTTTTAAGATAATTAAATAATTTACTGGTTGCTTGTGCAAAATTAAAATTTTGAAATAATGATCAATTTTTGTTATAAAACAGAAAGTCTCTGTTAATTTTAAGCTAAAAAACAACTCACCCCTTTTAAGATCAAACTCCGAATTTGTACTATTAACAATGGCATCCACATTAGCTTTAGTGATATCACCCTGATAAACTTTAAGTTGAAGATTTCCAATATCTAAGGCAAACTCCTCCGAGTCAGATAATTCACTAGGGGAACTGTTTCCATTTCCTCCGGCTTCAAATGATCTTCCTCCTCCTAAAGTTAATGTAAATTAAATTAAATCTTCCATTAATTTTAATTTAATGTACATTTTCAATTTTTTTTAACTTTTCAAGTCCTAAGAAAAAATTTCTTTTGAAGATTGATTGATTGATGCTTTTTTTTTGTTAACGTCCACTCATATGGAGATGCCATCACTCGCTGGTGGAGAGCAAATTTTGTCTTATACTCAGCACTCACGGCCATTGAGCAGGAAGGGATCTTTTTCATGCCAGCACCTACAGCAACATGGGACCTCAATTTATACAGTTTAAACCAAAGGACCTGTCTCCATGTTGCACAGTGGGATTCAACCCGCGACGTAAGGACAAACTCCTTACCTCCCGACTCTAGAGCAGATGCTCAAACCATTGTGCCACGCAGGTAACTTTTCAAGATCAAAGTGTTTTTCTGTTTAATTTAATTAAATAATTCAGTTGATGTTTAATTTCATTGTGTTTGTAATGTAACAGTAATGTATAAAGCATGGCTGTTCAACTCTAAGGAAAAAGATCCACTTTTATCGATAAGAGTTACTGTACATATGAAGTTATGTATAGGCACAGTGTACTTTTCAAATATGTCTCTGTTTTAGAAATAAATGTAAAATACTTAAATTAATTTGAATCTAAATAACCCTGATACCCCTCATCCGATAAAAAGACAACTTTTAATTTGTGTTAGAGCTTTTATTAAAGAAAATCATATATGTGTACAACAGTGAATTTATAATTTCCTATAAATAATGATTCTGTAATAATTGATGCCTGAACTTATTAGTGCAATATAAAGATGTTTATGATGAATTATATATGAATAAAAATTCATGCATTTTAAAGCAGTATCTATCACAAGCAAACAATGGCAAAATATTTCCTAACAAGATGTGTTTGTGAAACACTATGCACCTGGCTGCAACAAAGTTAAAAATAACATATTTTTAGCATATAGGTCAAAGTCAAGGTCATAAGGTCATTGACCTTGGTGTCATTTGAAAGAGCTTAATTAGTGGAGTATGCATTCCAAATATGAAGTCTCTTTCAACATAATTCAAAAGTTATGGCGAAGGTTAAAGTTTGCAGACAAACAGATAGACAGGACAAAAACAATATACGCCTCGGATCTTTCGATCCATATAAAAATATAGGAATGCCTATAAAATATTAACAAAATGAAACATACTGGTCAGAAAACATAACTTTTGTGTAAAAGCTCTAAAAAATATCAAAATACTGTATCTCTGTTATTAAACATCACAGAAGTGCCATGGGGTTTTTGTCTAGCTAAACTAGGAAAAAACTATTATAATCTGCCCAATAACAGCTAAAAAAAAATCAGCAGGATTTTTTTGTATTATAGTAAAACAGGCATATGCATGTAGTGAACATGCTTACTATTACTTGAGGCAAACGCAATGATGGATTTAGGGGATCCTCTCCCTTTTCTTAAATTTTACCCAAAAAATATTTGCTTAAGAAATATATCTCAAGTTTATAAAGAGATACAATGTAAAAAGCAGGACTGATGCATTTTAATACATTTTTAACTTGTACTTTGAATATGTATAGTATTACAACCCATCAAAACAAATGGAAATGTTCAAGTACTTTTTTCTTTATCATGTATTCTTTTTTCCTTGTCCAAAACTTTTTTCTGCCTGAAAATGCCACATTTTGTTTTGTATAAATATAAACTCCTAAATGCAAATGATGTATGTGAATGCAACCTGCCCAGTTGACAACCACATTCATCAAAGGAATATGTATTCAAATGCATTAAGCATAGAGAGAGAAAAAATCAGACACAATTATAATATTTTATGGAATGTTATATCATAACCCCACGAAATAGGATTTTTGCGTTTGGACAACGGGCATATTTCCCTTTTTTTCTTGCTTGTCAGGTTTTTTTGTAGGTCTAAAATAATTTTCTCTTACACTTTCAATTTGCTTCTGACACCAATTCATTTATGTGACAATGAATCAATGCACTCGTAGTTTCACTTTCACTAAAATGCAATTTTTGTCAAAATTGAGAGCAAGTAAAAACTTTTGAATACATTGAATTAAGAAAAATCATAGACTTGCAAGTGTAAATGTAGAAATTTTTTGCATGGGTATTTAAAATTATGCAATCAGAGGAACTTTGAAAAATCTGTAAAGATATCATAATAAGATATTTCAAACTAAATATGATCACACAGTTTTCATCTTTTTACCAACAACAAAAAAATTATTCCTACACACAACTCATGGTAAATAATCCCAAAAATATAATAATGGCAAAAAATATACATGTGTATGGCACTTTTTTTTTTAATCAAATACAGCCTGTAATGGGCAGTTTAATCATTCTTGTTGGTGCAATTCAAAGCAGCTGAATGCAATAATTCAAATACATTTAATCATCTGTTAATAGAACATTGTATCTGAGTTTCCACTTTGACAATTTGAACAAAGTCTCAGCATGGGGTTATCACTCGGAAAATTACAGCAGCTTTGACAGACTTCAATATCGTACTCCTTCTCACGAAGTTGTTTAACACGGGTACGACTAGAAGGAAACATCTGGCATAACTCATTATCGAGACAGTCTCTCAAAAATGACCTCATCTGCCGCGAATCCCAGTAACATTTTGATGGATCCTTGCCAAGAGCTAAAGCAAACATGGCCGCCACGGCAAACAGGCCACAGTCAGACTTGTTTTCCTGTCTCTGATAGGCTGGCATAAGTACTTTTATTGTACTCTGACTGGCTGGTACTAGGGCAACAATACAACTTCTTGTGTCTGCATTTAACTTTCTGTAGCAGCTGTCAAAGACCCTGACATGATGGTGGTCCCATCCAATATTTGACAACAGAATCCAGTGGTTGCCTTGGGTGTTGATGATTTGCAGGAATTTCCCTGACTGCTTCTTCAATCCATGCTGACCCATGACTGATGCTACGCAGGTCTCCTGCAAACCTCGAATATCAGGAAAGTTTCTCTTGACTATACTCATAGCCGTGTCCATAACTCTATCTTCAAGCCAGTCATCTGATGCAATCTTAAAGCTTCTAGGTGAAGATGAAGACTTGTGCAATGGTGGTCTTTGTGGTGCTTTTTTGGGCATGACAGGAACAGACTCTGACCTTTTAAACAGGTGCTTCCTTCCAGAGTAAGGATTTTGGTTTGTTGCAAAGACATCATTAGATGGATCTCTTTCTTGTTTTCCTCTTTGCTCCCTAGTTTTTAATCTATCAGAAATGGTTTTATTTCTTTGGTAACTCATCTCCAGAGCCCTTCGTGCATGTTGAATTTCATGTGGTGACATGCCAGGGTTTTGTAAAGGGGCCCTAGCTTGTATGGCATTAGGGTTAGCAAGACCCTGATATGCCATTCCATAAGAAGGTGACCATTGCTGATTCTCTGTTTCAAGTTTCTTCTGATATGAAACGAAATCATCCTCATCTATAACTTCATTCCTGTATGGTGCGTACAAAGGAGTCTTTGCTTCTAACTTTTCTTGCCTATGAAGCATATGTTTTCGGTAAGATAAAGGCCAATATAGCCCTCTTGAATAAGACCGGTTTGATTCCTCCTCACTTAGATCTTCAGAGTCAGATCTCACTGGTACCTCAGAGTATAATGGATCTTGTTCATCCTCATCTGATTCGCTCCCTTCATCCATGAAATCTGATAAAGGTAAAGACATTTGCCCAATTAGTTAGAACAGTAAACAATTTTAGAGAGCCTACCATTTTCTTCTAACTGAGCACACATCTTCAACTTTATCAGAATAAATGGAACATTAAGTTATATATAAAGGATTTGTTGTACTTACCCCTGACTTTGGGGGGTGCCTGATACTGAGAATTGCTGCCGAACTGTCGTCCATGGCGACCACTTCCACCACCCTGCCGCTTCTCTTCTCTCTCAAAAGCCTGGAATTAAATAGTGCAACAGAATAATAAAAATCTGTTTTTAGATCACCATAAGGAAATAATCCAGTAATAGATAATTAAGCAGAAAATCTTAATGATTTTAAATGATAAAAATGTCTTTTTTTAAGATGTTATTGTACATACATTTGAAAACATCATTTATAAAACTAAGTTCTGAATAAAACAACAATTAACAAAACTTATTGACATAATAAGAAATTATTTTGAATTGAATGATAAATTTCCCTTTTTTATCACTGATCAGAATTTCACATTTGTAATTATTATATCAAATAAGAGGATTTGAAGAGCACTTTGCCTGTCCAATTTATTTCAAATATGAAATCTGTGCTTGCAAGATCTTCAAAATTTAGGAATAACAAGGAGCTCCATCTCAATCAAATATCAAAGCTGTGCCAGATAATAAGAAATGCAACAATTCTTGTTGTGCAAGCATAAAAATATATACCAGTACTTAAGCATATATAAATACCTTAACAGTTTCTGTGTCCTTATCGTATAATACAAATCGAACATCAGAAATTGTAGTGGAGGGGTTGTTAGAACCAAAGTTATGGACAGCATCAAACATCTCCTTGGCAACTGTTTCTCGGGGGTATCCTAGGTTACCAGTTCCCATGGCAGGAAATGCTACTGATGAAAGCCTGTTACTGTCTACATGGTTCAAGCATTTCTCCAAGAATGTCCTTAAAATCTGCAGAATATCTTTTACATTCAAAATTTTTACTGTAATAAATTCAAATGATCATGCATTCCATACTGTAATCTTTCAAGTTCATGCATATGATTCTAACATTGTTACCAAAATATGTTTACCACAATTATTCTGTATGAATAAAATTTTGTATAAATTAATTACTCTGTATGTACACTGTATTTATTAAACCATTCTGCAGAAAAGAACAAACACATATTTTTGATACACATGTATATATGGACTGCCTGTTCAGTATACCTTTAATGCCTGCCCTTGTTTATCCCAGCCTGGCAGTGACCCGTGACAGATGAACTGACAACTAAGGTTACCACCAGATGTCACTGCTATGTTGCCATGCTGAATGCCCCCGGGGTAGTTCTGGTCACATTCCTGCTGTATCCCTGGTCCTGCTGCCTTTAGGAGGGAGGCAGACACAGCACCATTTCCTAACTTCAAATCTTTTGAGGTTGTGTTCACAATCACATCCACCTAGATAAGCGACAAAAAACATTTCTGTAAATGTCTAGAAAATTGCTTTTATGCTCATATCTGGCCCTTGAAATTTATGTGAAAAAAATGAAGACATTAACTACATTGTCAGAGTAAGAAAAATGTAAGTTACAATAACCCAATTAACTTTAGATCATGTGTAATTTTCAATTTATCCATACCGTCTGTTTGGCAATTTGGCCAGTGATGACACGAACGGTGATATTACCAGCTTCAACAGGGGAGGGCTTAAAAGACTTCCTCTCTGAAGAATCAATTTCATTAAATAAATACCTTTTCATTTAAGCTATCTTTTTAGCAAGTATAATAAGCAAGTATTAATTTTAATTATTACTATGTGTACATGTATACATGAGTATTTACAAAATTCATATGAGTGCCAAAAGTATCTCATTCATTAATATGTTAAGAGGACACAACTTTTACTGAGTATTTTAGATTCTATAAATCCCATACCTGCAGGGACAGGACCAGAAGATGTCTTCCATTTACTGCTACTCCCTGAGGATCTGCTCTCTGGGGATTTAACTTTTACATCTTTCAACTCCTTCTTCATGGCCCTTACAAATCCTTCCACTGTGTCCTGGCTCACATCACACAAATATACAGCCTCTACGGGAGAGCTGGAATTCTCCGAAAAGAAATCTCTCACTGCCACAACGATCACTCGAGTGGCCTCTCGCATAGGATACCCAAACACACCTGTGCACAGAGCTGGAAATGCAATAGAGGTAAATCTGTTCTCGGATGTGGCCTCCAGACTTTTGAAGACAGCCTCACGTAGGTATTCTTCCTCCTGATTGGTGCCGTTCTGCCAGACCGGACCCACGGCATGGACGACTCCTTTACATTTCAGATTTCCAGCAGAGCTAAGGAAGACCTGTCCCTCCATAAGGCGACCTTTCTTCCTTACATAATCATTACATTCTTCCTGAATTGATCTTCCACCTGTCAAAATAATTATTTTTAAGTATAGTAGAAAAATAAATTAATTTCAAATTATCTATTTGCTATTAAATAATCCATTATTTCAAGGATCAGGCCCCAGGGCCATAAAAATCAGGTGAGCTTACTTTTGATCTAATCCATCTCACTTTCTACTATTAATCCCTTTTGAAAAACTGGGACTGAGATCACAAGAGAGCTTGTCTCAGTTTTATGGTCCCAGAGGCTGCTGTGAGGCATACATTTATGTTATAAAGATAGAGCATCCCACAGTGAAAAGATTAGTAAAACATAGAAAATATGCATGTATTAAACTCTTTGCTGGTACATTGTATGCGTACCAACAAAATGAAATATTAAACAGAGTGTGGCTATCTTACCCTTTTCCACTATAATTTTGGCCAATCCTCCAATGTGTCTCATATCTTTATTGGCCGGGTTTACGATCACATCTACTTCCAACTCTAACATATCGACCACCATGGCTGAGATTTTCTTTCCTAGTGGTGTGACACAGACGGCTAGTTCTTGTCTTGGTACGCCTGTCCTTAGAACTGTGCTATCCGTGTCTTCATCAGACAAGCTTTCATCACTCACATCAATCACAACACCTTGGGTCTTCTCAACCGATCTAATTTTGTCCTGACCTTGTGTAGATTCTAAGTGTTTCCTTATTCCTGGCTTCTTAATGGGATGTACTTGTTTTTTAACACCTTGGACTATCTGATCAACAGCATATTTGGCTTTATTTAGTCCCGTTTTGGTGCCTTTAATCATGATACCAATATTGCTGATTTTCACATTGCCCTTATCCTTTTGAACATCTTTATCAACTTTATCAATGGCTTGTGCACAGTTCATCTGTATATATCTCATCATACCAGTATCTAGTTGCAACGTTTCTTCATATATAGTATTTTCTATCATAAAATTGTCCACATATTCTCGACTGGTTCCTTCAAACTTGTCAGTGCAAAGAATAAGAATTCTGCTCTGGTCTATCTGTGTTATAATTTTTATCAAACCCTCTCCTTCTTTTTCAATCTCTGTAGCTCTGCTCCGCCATTCTTCTTGTGAAAGCAGAGGTCTCGATTCATCTTTCACATCAACTGGAGTCTCTATCACAGATTCCTTCAGTAAATGTGCTGCCTTAACAGCCTGCTGGTCTGACAATGAATAAACGGTTAAAGTGTCATCTCCTTCTGAGGGTTCCCAAACCCCAATCAAGTCATTTTCCTTCATTCTGCTATTTACGTACTTGCATACTGGTTGAGTTACCAGAAAACTTCGAAGAAATCTGGAAAAGGGCTTTACATCAGTCTTCACAACTTTACTCAAAAACTCATACATTTCAACTATCGCTGGGGTAACCTCACCACTAAGTCCTTCAAAGTAGACACAGTTCTTTCCTACATCATATTTTAGAGATATACCCTCATACTTCTTTTGAAGGTTCTGCTCAAACTTGCAAAACTGCAGAATCAGCACTTGATGTCTTTTAATCCTTTTTTCCTCCTGAACTTGCTGTTTCTTCCTGTCCAACTCTTGTTCTACCTTCTGGATGATATCGCTGACTTGTCTGGACACTTCTTGAGATGCCTGTATGTGACCTGTCACATAAATTTCATGATTGCTTTTCTCCAGGACAACAGCAACAGCATCAGGATTACTGATTGTCAAGGACTTCAGCTCATTGAGCACCAGAGGGAATGCTTCCTGTAAAGTGGAATGTTTGGTAACAAGCAGAAGATCCAAAAATTTGTTCAGATTTTCCTTCACCTTGGCTTCCCATGTTTTGGCCAGTTTCTTACAGTCTTTGGTTTCAGCAGTCAAGGTACAATCTACTGTGAGAGACACAGATTTAGACTTCTTTGGCCAGACAGGCTTTCCATACACAGCCTCGAGCTGCTTGTCTATTGCCTGCTGATTTGATGGTGATTTGATAAGGAACTGAAGTTTCTTGGTATCCAGGTCTGTAAGTTCTAATGGTCCTGGAGGTTGGAATGGCCCTTCCTCTTCACTTTCTACTTGTCCAAGGCACTCATAATAAATCTTAACATCAAGAACCTGGCCATCAACTTTGTGTTGTCTCCTACATACCAAATCCACAGCTTTAAATAAAAAGAAAAAGACAATTAAAGATAATCAGCTGAATTCAAACATATAAATCAAGAAAACATTAACCTAAGCTTGGATTCTATTCTAGATCTGTGTTCCATACATATTCTATCATTTTTTTAAATTTTCATCTTTTTTTAATCTGAATCTGTGACTTGAAAACTGCATTTCAAAAGTTTTTTCCTTGCATAAAAAGGGGGGGGGGGCTATTTCAGCCAAGATAATAAGAGGCTAACTAATTGTGGATTATAAAAATCTATTTATGTTTATGGGAAAATTTTCAGGAACATTTTTCCCAAATTATTTTACTTAATTTTTAACAATTTCTCGAGTCCATCTTTCTTTTAAAAAATTTTATAATTATAGGGAAATAAAGAAAGATCAATGTAGAATGTAAAAACCTTCTGGCTCCTCAAAGTAGACCAGACAAAATCCATCAAACTGTCTGACGTCCAAAACCCCTGTCACCCCACTCCTTCTTTCATTATCGAAGTAAAACTCGAGGGTATCTCGAGACGTCTTCTCTGAGACATTCCGAACAATGACACAGTTTGTGATGGGAACCCGGGATACCTCCAGATATGACTTGTCTAAACTCCTCTTCTTACAGGCCAGCTGTAACTTCTCAAAATCTGTTAACAGAGAAAAAAAATAAGCATTGACCTTTATTTTTCAAAATGACCACAAGCAAACGAATGTAGCATATGCTTGTTTTCAAATTTTATAAACTGCACTCTATCAAATAGCCATTATATTTTCATGATTTTATCAAAATAAGACAAGGATCCAACATATAATTTGCTGTTGAGGACTAAAACATACATGAAGGTACAATAAAATGCATTATTGTTGAAAAAAGAATTTCAATTAATTGATATGACCTAAATCTTCTTCAAAGGTGACTAAGGCTGCTCCCTCCAGCTCCCCATACTCTATACTTGTGGGTGTTATGCCGGTTTTTGCTTCCAGAAAGTTTTCCAGTCCATCTTTGGTTGTTTTTTCACTGATGTTTTTGATAAAGACTTTATTTGAGTACATTGGCACTGGCTTCGGAGGAGGAGGTGGAACATATCGGCAAACCTCTATGGCTGTTCCATCAATTTTGTGTCTTTTCCGCAATACATTCTCAATAACTGAAAGATCAAAGGTCATATGGTTTCAGAAGAAAAAACAGAAAAGAGGCAGCACTGGTTATTGCAATAAGCTGTATAATATTTTGACCTCAGCCTTCAACTAAAGTAATTAAAAACTAAAATGTAATTAAAGAATACACAATAATATCTGAATTTGAAATAAAGAACCAAATTAATATTTTTGAAACACATTTTTGTAAGAAAACCACAAAATGATATCTACGGAATATTTTTATCCAAATATCTCACCACTTTCATCCTCAAACACAATGTAAAACACCCCCTCCTTTTCTTCTATGTTTTTTATATCTCCTCCTCCTGAACGACGAGTGTTCTCAAAGTACATTTCCACTGTATCTAGGCTTGTTCTGTCTGACACACCCCGAACTTCTAGAATGTTCTCAGATTCCATCACTTCCTCCTGATCTGCACTCTCAACTTCTAAACTTGGTCGAAACTCTTCCACTCCTATCTGAACTCCAGAAAATAATATTGGCATCTTCCCCAACACCCGTTTTACAGCTTCAATTGAAAGGATAAAAAATTATGTTCACACTAAGATATTTGTATATAGACTTAAATATAACAAATCATTTGTCGCTATAAATTAATAATAAAGTCATGAAATCTCAATGATACTTCATTATTTTAGTTGCTCTATATGTAGGACCTGTATACAATTACAGTAAAACTTGTCTAATCTGGACAATGCTGGTTTCAAAGAAAATGGCCATTAGCAATATTCCAAATTAGACTTCATTTTTAAAAATGAATTTACTGCAATGATTGCACTTAAAAATAACACCATTATAAGCAGGATTTTGGATAACACAAGATCCAAATTAGATAAGTTTCACTGTAATATCATTTGAACAAACCAATTGACAGACAGACTCTCTGATAACCATAGGGTGCCTGCAGAGTGGGACCCTAATCCAATTCATTAATGTTTTTTTTTCTTCAAAATATTTACCTTCAGGGTCTTCAAAAGTTATAACAGCTGACTGTGTATCTTGGTCATACTCAATGTCTATTATTGAACCACCACCACTCTTCCTTCGATTCTCAAAGAAAAACAGCAAAGAATCCTCGGATGTACCAGATGGAATATTTGTAACTTTAATCATAGCCACCTCTGAAAGAAGAGATTACCAATCTAAAAACATCTTTATCTCCTACTGGTTTTTTTATGTCCAGGTGTTTGTTTATTTCTCCATTACAGATAAACAGCTAGGAAAACCAATGTTTGATAATGTCCCTTGAAATCTAGAAGGTGCTCTAATAATTTAGCTTTACAGCAATCATTGAACATATCTCCCTATCCATTGTGTTCTTTCCATGCTATAAAAATACTCATACAGTGGAGCACTTTAGTACGAACAGGGATATTGCAAATTCACGGATATAGCAAAGTTATCTTGGATCCCCAGCTTATTAAACAGATTTCTTATGGGTGTAGAACGAATTATGGATATATCGAAGTAATTTCATAGGTCCCACTGACTTCATTACAACAGAGAACAAATATGTTTATAACACTGCATGTTTGTGTGACATTCATATACAAATACTTACCTCAACAGGTTAAAATCGCGATCGGAAAAGATCACAATTTTTTCAATTTACAGCAAATCGCGGTTGTTTGAATTCGTGGAGAGGAAAAATCATACATTTTTTAACAGTACTTGCAAGCATTTTCCATTAGGTATATGTTGTGTAGACTGATATTTCCTGTCTCTATCTTACCTAAATATGTATATCGCGCATATCAGACAGGCAAGGCAAGTCTATATATTGTATCGATTTTGAGCTTGAATACCAGTAATAACGAAACATTGGACTGATCCGATTTGAAGCCAAAACAATGATATGCATTCAGACTTTATTTTAATTTTGAGTACAAAGCAAAACAAAATGTACCGTAGTCAGAATGTTGAACAATAAATCATATAATTGAAATTAATTACCATATAATCCCTATTAATCACCCCTGCCCCTATAAGTGCCCCCCTTCATCTTTTTTCAATTGTCAGGAAATAATTTAAGGGCCCCCTGTACAACAGTGATTAAAATCATCTAGAATGTATCTAGAATTGTATCAAAAGTCAGTCAAAATTTGAAGAAAGTAAAATGAAACTTGTCTATTATCCAATTTCTTGGTAGAAAATGAATCATTAAGCATTATTTTGGTGGATTATCTTCATTTTAAGTAAAGTCTGACATTCTTTTAGTGGTTCTTTAAATAATTTTTTTTTTTAAAGATTTTTTGAAGTTAAAATATAATCATGATAACATTAAATATTATAAAGTGAATACCAAAATAGCCGCCCCCCTTTTGTAATTTTTTAAGCGTCCAGGGTGGTTAATAGGGATTATACAGTAATTGTCTTTACCCTGATTTCTAAGTAAGCGTCTTGATAAAATGTAATGACTGAGTGATACACACGGGTGAAACTAAACAACCATGTTTTATTAAATAATTACACTGCACATCTTGTAGATAGCAAAATTAATCATTAGCTATAGAAATTAATTTAACAATTAATAAGTTTTAAAAACATCAACAACTAAGTGTTTGTAATTGATCCATACACCAGCTGAATTATAAAGACAGTCTACATCTCAGATACTGTAGATCACTTAATTTTCGCGACGCCTTATTTTCGCGAGATAGTCATTGACTCTTTATTAGCGAGACAAAATTTTCACGGATTGTGGTCATTGCTCTATATAATCTTAAGGAATTCTATAGTACGCGAGAATGAAATTTTCGCAAGCATACTGTTTCGCATAATTACCCGAAAATAAAGTTCTCGCAAATAAAAAGTGATTTACAGTATATAAATTACTGCCATTGTGTTTGAACGGAGAGACAAATAAGTTTAAAGAATCTAATCACAGATAACAGTAAAATTTCAATTTATCCTTATAAATCTTTTAAAAATTATTCACCGTATGTTGAATTCGCAGAATTTCTTTTTCCGCGAATATTAACTCCGTGAAGTAATTTCCTGCTGTACAGTAATTAAAATAATTGTTTTATCATCAAAATTATTTCAAATGATCCTTGCCTGTTCTGGTATCTTCCTTCTCTGGGTTTCCATCATCTTCTTGGTCTGGATCATATTCAGCGGATGCTTCTCTATCCCTGTATAGCTGCTCTGTAGAATGGGACTTTACATGAGTTTCTGTATTAAAGAAACATTAATTTTTTATATATCCTTCTATTATCATGACTTATGAGGTAAAAGATGCTGACCTGGAAGCATTCTAACAAATACAAGTAAAAAATAATATTTTCAGTCAACTGCTGTAGACTAGCACTATAGACCATTGTGTTTTACATGTGAATACTGGAATAATTTTTCAATACCCTTTCTTATCCCACAAAAAGTTAACTACAAATAAACTTCAAGTCAAAATAGGATCAAAATAATTCTTCATGAATATTTCATAATAGATTTTATCTTAAAATCAAGACCCTACTGTATGATTAAGTAAAATAACTTCCATGCCAAACATATCAAACATACATGAACAAACAAATGCTTCCATTTTAAACAATAAATTTTCACAGATATAAATTACCTATCCCTGACCCACTTCCCTGTGATCTGCTGACAGGTAAACTTCCTCCTCCCGATTCAGGTTCTTCCTCAGTAACAGAGTAAGGAGGAGGGGCACCTGCACCCCCGCCTGCTTTCATTTTTTCAAACATCTGAAACATTTGCATTTGTTGCATCCATAATTGTGGAGGAATTGGAAAATTTCCACCCTCTGGTGGGTTTTCTTGTGCTGTCGCTCCTTCCTGAGGCATCCCAAATCCAGGGTACGGATATGGATACATATATGGATACTGGGCTGGATTCATTGGGATTTGCTGTCCTGGTGGGAAAGGCATCTGCTGTCCACTCTCAGCCCGATACATTCGTGGATCAGGCATTGATAAAGGGTATACATCTTGTCTACCGGGCATATTGGCATACGTTTCATTCTGCTGGGGTCCTGGTTCGTTGGACGGATACTGCATACGAGTGTGGGATGATGCTCCCTACAAATTAGCCATTGTTTGTACATATATGACAAATTTAAATAAATAAGTACCTACTACAAATGTATGCATTTTAAAAAGACATAATTAAGTTATAAAATAAATATGATCTTATTCTAGCAATAACATCCACTGCCAACATCATGAACATAGTCAAGTCTGTTTCAGCCTTTTTTATTTAAATCTTAAACTGAAGCTATTGAACAATATTTCACCAGAAAGCTTTCAATGTTAAAATTCAAAAAATCTTCATTGAGTATATTTCTGCAATATTAAATTAACATCTTAATACTATTATTATACATGTATTCTTATAACATTTTTTGAAACTTTTAGAATATCTTTCATACAACTTCTCATATTCTCTTAATGTTCATTAATTTTGAAAAATGAGTTTCTACCGCAAATTGTTCCCATTCGTCTGGAATATCACAGGCATTATTGCAATGTTCAACTCTCCACTCTTTCCCTTTGTAGTTAATGCACTTTGCTTCTAAGCAGCTCTGAACATCTACATAATTAGAACAAAAAGATAATTATTAATTTTAAAGCTTGACCTGTAAACATGTTGTTAAAATTTGTAAGCTTGAACTGAAACATTTTTGGGGGTAACCAAGTTCACCTACATCATATTTGTACATATGAATGATTTATTTAAAGATTGTTTATATGTATATCATGATCAAAAGTCACCTTGTTAATCATATTTTTTTTTAAATACAAATTCCTATATACTCCGATAATTCGGATGAGTCAGATGACCTAGCTAGACTTGCTACTTGATGTCAGGGATACATCATTTTTTCTACACTTTCTATCACTTTAACTGGATAAATACATGTATTTTCCAAAATCAACTTTCATTTTTAAAATATGGAAAACTTCCCCAAAAAGTGAATATTCGAGCCAGTGATATCCCTGTTCAAAAACATAACATTTTTTATTTGTGTATCAAGTAACATAGGAAATTAGTATATATCGCCCACCTAAAAGAATTTAATAAGTTAAAAAATATCATACGTACATCTCTCGTCTTTAAAAAGCAATAGAAGTCTGCGCCCGCCCCTTTGATCTGCTGGGTCAGGAACAGTTACAACAGCACAGGATCCCTCCACGCCAGTGGGATCGGTTTCTAATGTCTCCAATCCATCGCCGTAAACATACACACAACGCGGAGACAAAGTCTGCTTCCACGCACTTCCAGACATATCTTACATAGTCTACCACTTAAAAATGCAGCGTCATATTCATACCATGGCCTTTGAACATAAAATATCTACTTTCGTTTTCTTTCTGCATTCTTGAAAAAAGATAATTCGTATACTCTCGGTCTATTTCCTGAAACGCATCTTCCGAACGGATTTTTGTGTACTCCGAGTCCGACTTTTCGTCCGTATGACGGACGTCATAAATTCAACGAAATGCTTCTCCTAACATCTTAAAATTATGACATAATTACACAAATTAAATTTCAATAAATGCCGAAATTATAAGCATACACGCATGAATATTAATATTTTAATTTTCTTAATTTACTGCCCTATTCTTAAACAGAAAAAAATTCTCCGTCAAATGTTTTTTATATGAATTACTACACCCCTACTAATGTTATTGTGATTTAAATTCAAGACACGTGGTTTAGATTTACCTATTCAAAGGTTATAGGGTAGATCCGGTTTTATAAATAAAATTGGCAGTAAACAGGAAATTGCTATAGTCTGTTTCTTCTGAAACATGTCCTGTGAAAAATGTGTGTTTGCACACCTTTCTGAAAGACTTTCATGATTTTCAACAGAAATGGATGGCTTAAGGAGGGGGGGGGGTGGTAAATAACAATTAATACATCTTGTACTTAACTGCAAAAATTACAGCTCACTAGCGACCGAGATGCTTGTAAAAAATGTATAATATCATTTACACTGACAAACCTTTGTTTGCCTTATATGGCTATTGCTATTAATGCGCACAGAGGATCTTACCACGAGCAACGCCAAATACATGTTTACATGCTACTTCGAACACGTGGTTCAGGTCAATCTATGATCATATCAATGGAGTGCAAAGTAAAAAAAATGTTCCTATGAAACATTAGAAACTATTAATAATATCACTGGCGTTTTTAATTTGTTAATAACTATAGAGAAAAATATGCTTAATAAAACGTATACGTAGTTTGTGTCAAGTTCAGAACACCAGCAATTCAAGGATAAGGAAAACGAGCAGATTCTCCTATGCGTTTAAATGGACAAAACATTTTTTACATAACTATACATGTATACTCGTGATCACGTGTGTTGGCAAGGGAATCCACCTGGCAATTGTATTCACCGATAGTACAATAAAGGAATTTATCAAGCGTAAAATTCCTGTAGTATTCGTATAGTAACCCATAATGCAATTCTCATTCATCTGATTTGTCAGTTAAAAGTCACATTGGTGCCCCATTTGCTAATCTGACGCCAAAAAATATAGTCCCGGTTCCCATGCAAAATATTTGTCTAAAAAGAAATTCTAATTCATGACAGCAGAAAATTGTATCATAGAAAAAACTTTAAAATAATTTAAACTTGAATGAATTCAAGAAAAATCGATTGAAGTACATTTCTACAGAATGATATTATACGGTGGTGAAAACTAAAACACAACATAACTTTTCTGTTTACCATGTCTCCACGTGCTAGTCACTTCCTAGCCACATTTCCGTGAATAATTTACTCTATCTCGCTGAAGTCTCGCCAGCTCTCGCCAGAGCCAATGTCAGAGCTACTCTGAACTCATCGGGTTTTATAATATGCAGAACACCGACAAATAAAAGGTTCCGAACACATTAGTAGGGGTGTACTAGGGACCTACCTTAAAAGAAGAAGAAGAAGCATCATTAGGCACTTGTTTTTTTCCCCGCTTTTGCGAAAGTGAGGGGACATTAAATCTCATTTGTCGGTCCGTCTGTCAGTCTGTAAGTCTGTCTATCTGTATTTCTGTCTTCCGTCACAAATATTTTAATTAACCTTGGTAATATCTTTGCACACAGGTACTTGTGGACAGGAACACCCCCCTTTCGATATTCACCCCCTGGATTCGTTGGACATTTTTTCACAAATCATATTTATTACACTTATTCATCATGTGTACCATAGGAAAAAAAAATAATCGTTCCAAAAAGAAAACATTATAAACTTCCTGTTATGATCGGTTCCAAACGGTAAAATCCGAAGAAAGTTTGGTGTAAAAAAAATAAAAAAACAATTTGTCAGTTAAAAATGTCGGTTAATATTAAACTTACTAAAAGATTCTAAGAAAGAAATACCTAATAAATCTAACCAATACTTCGTAAAACTATTTTTAAGATAGTGATTCTATGGACAGTAAAATTTACTAGTCTTCTTAGCGAATTGAGTACTTAATTTTTTTTTCAGAGTTGTATTTTCTAACGCCTTACTTGTTCACGTCTTATGAAACTAATGTTTCAGACTTGTTTGTAGTATCTTTTATTTCGAGTTCAAAGGGGCGTAGAATCAATATAGGATTAGGGAAAATGAATATTGTTAATAAATAAATGTTAAAATATCTAAATGTTGAATTCGACTTAGTATTCTTCTTTTAATGTGGTAGTTTTTTAATAATTCAGTTTCATATGAAAACAAAAAAAAATATTTTCAATCAGAAATACGCACATCTTAATATCAATCTTCGAGTAATTAATCTTTTAACTGAAACTGCTCACACTTTTCATGAATAAGAGCATGTTATCTCATCATCAGCCAGTCTTGAAAAATATCATCCTGTATAATGCTTAATTTCATATAGCACAAATAAAAATGCATACTTGCTATGGATTTCCCATACATGAAATTGGATCATTTGATAATAAATGTAGGATCACACAATAACGTTTTTTTTTTTCATTTGGACACTGTATACCTGCAAAGTCATCGGAAATGTAAATCGGTGGAGGCCTTGTTTCAGTGTGGAAAAAGTTCATTTTCAGCACTCTTTCCAATTGTGGAAGTTTTACCACCTTATAACTTAACATATTTACATTAATTGTGTAATTTTCTTGATACATACAACCACAAGAGGCCCATGGGTCACTCACTCACGTGAGCATATAGCTATGAAAAAGCAGAAATCAAATTTTAGGACTGGAAAATGTTTAATTAAATATATGTGGTTTATCCCTACCATACGTACCCCCCTTAAACTTTAAGAATTTTTGGTAACCACCGCCAAAATGGACCACGATTTGGAAAAAAAAATTTAATACATGAACCCGAGAATGCTTTCAAACAAATTTTACAATTCGGGGCTTTGATAATTAATGCATGATTTTTGAAAGCGTGGTTCTCCATTTGAACAACTTGAATCCCCTTTACCCAAAGATTTGTTTAAAACTGACCCGGTGGTTCTAGAGAAAAAGAGCAATTGTAAAAGGGTAAAGGACAACAACAACGAAGACGGACACCAGACACATTTTTATAAGAAAAGTACACTTGAATCTTTGCTCTCTGGAGTTTCCATCTTCGCTAGCCAAGTGTCCGATTCGTTTCCCTCATCTCCCATGGCTAGCGAAGATGTGGAGTTTCAACATTACCGCTACATCGCCAAATATTTCAACTCATAAACGCTACATTTTTTTTTCTCAAATTTTCGACCGATCATGAAATACCTAGTTCATAATTAATTACATATGAGATGTAAAGAACACAACAGATTAACAGGAAACATAAGTACGTTTATTTTCTTTAAAAAAAAAACAATAAATTGTAAGTAAACATGATTTTTCTCATTTGGCACTGATAATAGATTATACTGGTATGATATACATGTAATATAATTGCAAATGTCATTTTTAAAATTGCACTTGTCCCATTTTTAGGAGTTTGCCATCTTCACATCTTTGGAAGTTTCTGATCTAAATTCTGAAAAATGAAAAATATACCGTGCATGAGAAAATGGAGGCAAAGTATATAATATATAATTAATACTTTATCCGCTGATATTTCCGGAATATGAAATATTTTTAAAGATCTTTTACCTATTTATTTTATTTAAAATTGTTAAATAAGATTTATAATCTTATGTAATTTATCATACCTGTTTAGAAATTGTGAATGAACTGCACTCTGTTGAGGTCCACGCGACCTACATTAGCTAAAGCTTCTCTGTGATTATGAGTTTTTCTCTGGAAGATAAAAACAAGAACAGTTAAGAGCATCGGCATGATTTATGTTTTCTTACATGCATTTACAATATTCTTTAGATATTAGATGGGTGCTTACAACAAAAGGCCGGTGTCTGGCACAGAAGCCTGTTTTTTCTCGCGGACTTTTGGGTCGGGGTCGTGTGTAGTCTATCTTTTGTCTCACACAATCGTGTCTGATGTCAACCCGGTCCAAACATTCACACTAAAAAAAATAATTTCTTTAAAAAAAAACAAAGAGTTCACATTTATTTAGACATGAAAAATTTTAAATGTGAATTAAATGGTCGAAGAATTATTGATTCGTCGCTTCGAATCCCACGAAATGGTAAATCAATATTTCTGCAAAATTTGATTCATTTTTGCTTACAGATAAATATTTTATTGCCGTACATCACTTGGACCTACCACATGAGTGGGGTACTCCTCTGTAGGGACCAGTCTCCGTGTTTCTGATTCATTGACTAACCGTGTCAACTGGGACTGAAATAAAAGAACAAAATATTATTATACACCTCTGAAAATAATTTTGATGAAAAAGCAACTTAATTTCATTTTTTATATGCTTATAGCTGCTTAGTTACCCATTCATCCATCCGTTCTTTCCATTCATCGACCAGGGGTCTGTAAATTATGTCTCGCTGTAAAATAAAATAATTTTCGTTAAAAGTTAGTTGGAATTTTTTTCTTTTTTGGAAGGGGGGCGGTCAAGAATTTCTTAATTTCGAAATTCAACATATTAAATTTAGAATTATAGGCCAGTAAGATATGTCATCATTAAATAGTAAATAGTAATTGCCAACATTAAAATACTATTAAGAAAGAGTTCGTAAAAAAAAAAAAAAAAAAAAAAAAAAAAAAAAAAAAAAGAGCAATATGAATGCATTTTTAAAAATTGAAGGATTGTTTATTACGTTAATTGAGTTGACATGGAGGGAAAACTTACGCCTGTGGCGATGACATTCTGTGCATACCACCACGCCTGTTCAGTGGGTATATAGGTTTCTCTTGGAGGAGGCTGTAATAATGAAAATACTTGGATTTAAAAAAAAAGAGAAAATAATGTTTTTAGGTAAATGCCTCGATAGTTGTCAAATTTTATTTAAGGAATCACTGTCTAGTTTTGAGAGTATGCCAGGGCATCAACAATAGTGGGAAACATGGGATAATTTGCATAACGGCGAAGCCCGTTATGCTAAAAATTATCCCATGTTTCCCACTATTGTTGATGTCCCTGGCATACTCTCATAACTAGACAGTGATTCCTTATATTTCCATTTCATTGTGAAATAAAATTGTAGACTTAGACATTAAAAATGTAGACTAATAGATTTAAATTACACGAGGATTTCCATGCCAATATCAATAGTCCTCGCACACTGACGTCAAATACGAAGGCAGTCGCACGAGATTTACATGCATATTTGGCCTCCTTAGCGTCAGACACAGAAACAGATGCGCACGAGATTTACATGCGTATTAGGCCTCCTTAGCTGTTGACCTATCGACCTGCCTAATTTACATTCCAGCAGAATTATCAAGAAATAAATTCCCCCAACTTTCAAACAGTTATCACAGAGAAAAAAAATAGAAATGGAAATATTTCATTGAGTTGAGAGAACATATCTTGTAAGTAACAATGCATGATCGCCTACTGAATTTTTGCCCTCTGAGGTCTCCAGCTCAGACCATGTCCGGTATTTCTTGCTGGACTCGTCAACTTCTGAATGTGTGAACAAGAAGTCCAAAGTATCACACCGTGGCCCCCGTGACGGTCTCTCCTTGCCCGCGTTACCAGATGTTGCTTCGCCATCACTGACCGATGTGGACTTCTTTTCAGATCCCAATAAGAGCTTAGGGTCCACACCTTTGTCCTTATGTTGGCTATTCCCGATATCTTTGTCCTGTAGATCAGATGGCGTGTCGCTCCAAGCCGGGTAGTATCCAGTAATAACACAGTCATTCTCGGTGTTTCCTCCCACTAAGGTATCCGACAGTTTGGCCGCTAAATCATCACCAAGGGAACACTGGTCTGTCTTGCTAAAGCCTTTCTCCAAAGGATACAGTGTCTGTGTCCCTTCTGTGTTGGTGTTGATGTTGGTGTTGACGAACCTCATATCTTTCCCAAAAGAGCAGCATTTTTCCAGCCTGATATCCGACTGTGGAAGGTCATGGTCAACCTCAGTGGTCTTCCTTGGTAGAAGTCTGGGTCTTGGAGTTATGTCCAAGACACGATGTAGTTACGATATCGACACATTACTTTTTTATAGTTTACTATAATAGTTCTATATTCTCATGTGTTTATTACAATACTTTCTGTTTTAATACTATTTCCTTACTGTTAATATCCTCGATATCGTGCCGATATCGAATCACGGTTGCTCCAAGAATTGTGATTTCCATCCTTAATATGGTGTCTTTAAGAACTGTTACTTAAAAATTTCTTTATAAATCTTTCCCTGATGTGTCGATATCGTTGATATCTACGATATCGCTTCGATATCGAATCATGTTTGCTAAGCCCTTGGTAAATACCTTCCCTGTTTCTTTCAATGTGTTTATGTTTATATACTTTACTTTTACGAAGATATTACCTGCCATCGATATCGAATCATGATTGTTAAGAGCATATTACTTTACCAATCTTCACCCTTATACAAAAACTTTATTTTTACATCACTTCTGTGTTTAACAAGTTTACCTTACTGTCGATATCGACGATATCGTATCGATATCGAATCATAATTTTTAAAACATTTTCAAGAATTTTCACCCTAATCCAACATCTTACTCTAAATCTAATCTAAAACAATAACAACCCTAAACTTTTCTTAATCATATTAATTTATTTTTATATTCATGCCAATAAGGAATCAATTTTGACTTCACTTGTGACTTTCTAAAATTCTGTTATACCTCAATGTGAAAATAAATTGTGCAAATAGGATCGATATCGATATGATATCGTCATGATATTGTCGATATCGACGACATCGACATAATATAGAGTCTCAAATACGGCACCAGGTATTTCCAATTAATAGTGCTGATTACGATCGATATCGATAAAATATTGTCGGTATCGTCGATATCGACATAGGATTTGTTCTTGGACATGTTCTTGGCTCTTGTAAGGGTTAAACTGTAAATTTATATTTTATAAAAAGAAAATCATTGTAGAGAATTTTGAAAATATTTATAAAAGAAACCCCCCGTTTCCCAAATCCGCGGATTTTAACTATAGAGTATTTTTGTGGAATATTTTTTTCAAATTCACATTCTAGTTCTAAATAGCGAGTAAAGTAAATTCAAATAATTCCTTGGTATACTTGAAGTTGCAATAAAGTTCAAAACTTAAACATTTCAGAGACTTCAAACAGGCAGAGAAACAAGAAAATTAAAAAGCCCATAATGAAAATTATAAACTAAGCTTTGAAGTTTTTTTAAAGACAGTTTGCTAAAATTTACCCGTCTTGCTTTATAGGCAGTACAGTGAGTAAGTATTACTTTCAACTTCATGTTGAAATTTCAGATAAAGGTTACTTATTTTTTGCACGTCTGATCGCAATCAAATGGCGCCGTATCTATGACATGACGTTGCCACAATGCAACGACATAAAAATGGTGATAGTGACGTCATAATGATAAAATGGTTTAACAAAATTATTATTATTATTTCTTTTCAGTTTCCCTCAGTTTTTCTCTACTTTTTATCGTACACGCAGAAAATATTTTTGCATGAAATATTAATCTAATTTTAATTCTCAATAGGCACAGGTTTTGAATACTATCTGAAAGATACAATCGAGACGATTTCAAAAAATGAGTGGAGAAGTGAAATAAAACAATTACTAGATCAATAGACATAAAAAAAAACAAACATTGATTTACCCGTTAGTTTGAATACATCCTATGAAAAAAACACTTACGCGTGCCCTCTGACGCCACAATAAACATGTTATTGCATGCATTGGTGTAATTTCATAATATTGCATTTTTCTTTTCCATATATTCTGAAAATTCATTGTATAACTCGAGTTTTATTTTTTATTGATACTTGCTGCTTTATTTTTCTCCTAATATCGGGTGTAAGGGTGTGTTTGCAAGAGGGAGGGGGTATAACATTTTTGGTCAATGGTCACAATGCGTATTTGAATAACACTATCTCTTTTATACAAAAAAAAATCCTGTCAATGTGCTAAACAGACGATTTTAAACGGATTAAAAAAAAAAAAATAGCACAACCGATTTTCAAAGTTGTACAAATTGCTATGTCGACCAAACAAACACGATCGTTTAATCGATTTTTGAAATCTAGAAACAAATTTCTAAATCGTAAAAATGAAATTTTTTTTCATATATTTTTTCTGCAAAATTGGAACTTAAAGGCCCTTATACGCCATCGTATACATTGCAAATGTATCGATTAACAAACCAATGTAACAACGTACTGTAAGTAAGGTTTCAGTTGTCTTATTATATTATTTAGACATGAAGACTGCGTCTGCCTGGAAACTTTGCTCATTATTTATGACAAAAGATTGTTGCAGGCTATATAACTTCATTTCAAACTATTTTGTTTATACAGTATCCTGGTTACATGTAACAATAAGTACTATGAGTCAATATTGAAGTTTTATGAAGAGACTTACTTTTACAATCGACGACTGACTTGTACAATTTAAACAGAGACAAACTCCAATTACAAAAATGTAAAAGTCAGCTGTCGATGGAAAGGTAAGTCTCTTCATAAAACTCCATTACGGTGTATAAGAATATACTTTTAAGAACAATCAAACTATTTATGTACAAACTAATTTATTTACAAGTAAATTGAGAAAAATGTGTAAATTGAGAAAAATGTGTTAGAGGCTTTAAGATGCATCAACGACACAGAAATCGAAAATTATCACTGAAATTGTATCATATCGAAAGTAGAAAAGTTTTGTACTGGGGGTAAGAAAGTATGGCAGCTTACAAAATACAAGAGAAAAAAAAACGAAAGTACCTAGACAAGTTTTGCATTGGTACAGTTTTTTTTTTATTTTGTTTATTCAACTTGTAAATGAAAACATTCTTTTTATGAATTTCTTGTTAATTGCTTGTACTATTTTTTTTTTTGGTCAAAAACTCTTGGAACCTTGGTACTCAAGTAGAAAACACAATCATATGATGCATGATTCCTTATTTTACTAGTATTTCGACTTTTGATTTTGAGGACCCGTTTCGCTTCTTCTACATTTAATATTCGACTAAATTCAATGAAACTTTCCATTTAGAATGACATAGATACATTATCGTAAATCTGAGTCTTTCATTTTGCTTTCGATTTTGACAAAACTAAAGTATCAGATTAACTCAGAAGACTTAAATTGATTACATAATGTCATATCATACATTAAACTAAACAAATTTTTAAGTTCAAATTAAACAAAAAAAAACAATGTCAGTACAATTAAAACTTTTCCCGTTCCAGTAGAAGTTGTATAAAGAATTAGTGACAAGGATACAATATTATTTTCGGGAACTCATACTGGAACTCATACTGGAGTTGTCAGCCAGTTAGGTAATAGCCATGGAATCCGAGAATATTCTAGAAGTCCGTGGTGTGTCTGAAAGAACAACAATGGACACTGTGCAAAGGTACTTTGAGAACACTCGCCGTTCTGGAGGAGATATAAAAACCACAGACAAAAGGGAAGGGGTGTTTTACATTGTGTTTGAGGATGAGGATGGTTAGTTTTTGAATCAATTAAAGATTTATAGATTTTATTTGTTTTTTATGCATTTACGTCCAGAATTCATGCATAAAAAGTTCACATGTCCTTAAATTTAAATCTATGAGAAGAATACATCTTATATCTTGTTCTAATAAATAATCCTGTCACGTTTTTGCATGTACAGGTGTTGATATTATGTATATTTTGCGATGTACGTTATGTTGTAAATTCATATTGTGTTGTAAATTTTGTATTTACTACACTGTACCATCCAGTAAATTCAAAATTTACTAGATGACATGTACATGTATAATTATTATTTTAGTCATTAACAACGTACTGCGTAAGTGTCATCTAATCGATGGAACATCTATTGAGGTTTGCCGATATGTTCCACCCCCTCCACCAAAGCCTGTGCCAATGTACCCAAACAAAGTCTTCCTTAAAAACATCAGTGAAAATACAACTAAGAACGACATTAGGGCGTTTCTTCTAAAAGCAGAAGCCGGTATAAGACCCAAAAGTACACGTATAGAGTATGGGGAAATAGAGGGAACAGCCATAGTAACATTTGGAGAGGATGTAGGTCAGTGTCGTAACAATTTTGCAATTTTCTTTTTTATTTGTAACTAAGGACACTGTGTATATGTTATGTATACTGTAGAAGTACTTTTTTCCGCGTGGTAATAATTTACACTATGTACGCGGTCACAAATTTTCCGTGGAAATTTGTCCAAGCGCACTTAATATAAATGTGAGGCATACAGTGAACAGTTTAAGAAATCCGCGTAATTATCTACCCGCGGAATAAACAGAAATTGAGATTCCGCGGAATGATGACCCCGTGGAAAAAAGTACGTCTACAGTATGTTAAATATATTTTTTATGGATGACAATGTGATAATTCTTTTACTGATTAATATATAGTTGCAATTTTTTTTCGACGAGAAACTGGTTAAGCGAACAGATTAAACTTTTTTTGTGATATTTATAGTAAATTACTCTTCTTATTTTCTTTTAAAAAAACAACATATTTTCACCGACATTCATACAATCTCTCTTGAACACTGTTGATGAATGGCAACTTCATACCTTTTTTTATTACTTTGGATTTTTTCAACTCTTGAAATTCAATCTGACTAAAACTTATTCGAAATGCGCATTATTCAATTGCATGTGACAGACTGTAGTTGGTGTACTACAGTATTCATTTTTGAAACATTGGCAATCCCCCGCCTCTAATGTATGATTTTTCTTTGAGCACAGATTTTGAGAAGTTACAGATGTTCTGTAAAAATATGAGTTTAGACAATTCATATCTAGAGGTATCTCGGGTTCCCATTACAAACTGTGTGATTGTTCGGAACATCTCGAAGAAGACATCTCTAAAAACCTTT